GATATTGTCTTCTTTTCCACTCCATCCAAGAGCTTATCGTTTCATCGTGGCTGGGGGATGTTTCTCGGTGTCTGGCTACGATGTTATGCGGTGGTCCATCTCATCAGCGTCTTCGAAGCTGAGAAACAGCTCAAAGTTTTCATCCAGTTGAGGGTTAAAGTAATTATTAGAGAGTTTGATGTCCTTGGAAATTCGTACCACGTCTTCACAGACGTCAGTGGAAAAAAGTCTTACTGAGTCAGTAGTTTACTGGTGAAGTCGAAATTATGCTAGAGCATACAGTGTTCTTTGTGAGTTGATAGAGCGCATATTTGCTCATATATATATATATATATATATATATATATATATATACGATGTTTTTCTTCAATAAGCAGACACGAGGTTGTTATTATAGAATTAATTAAGATACAATAGCTGACGTTTCGGCGGTTTCGCCTTCTTTAAAGCCGTTTGTTTGTTGTAAGTATTTAAGTTGGTTGATGGATAGCGGCCACACAGTAATACATGGGCGTATATATATATATATATATATATATATACACGTGTATATATGTATATATGTACATATATGTAAATGTATATATGTACTTATATGTATATATATGTATATATGTGTATATACGTATATATGCATGTATATATACATATGCATATATATACATATGTATATGTATATATATAAAATTGTAAATTGACTTACCGAGAGATACTGATGTGTCAAACATGTTTTTATCCTTCAAGATACATTGGGTACCAATTCAACGATCATAGAGAGGTGGGGTTGTTTAGACCAAAGTATAGAATCGAACCAAGGGCTCTGAATGTAATGGGGGAACTGCCTCTATCCACAACCATTTTCTCCCCTTTTCTGGCAAAAGTGTAACAATTTTTCGTCCTAGTGGAATAACAAAACTTGTCTGATGAGATTCTAATAGTTTCTATCATAGTATAGGGCACTATGGTAACTCGTATGGTCACGAAAATAACACAAAATTCAAAAGTTTTGTTTTAAGAGGCGATGATAGACGAGTTGTTTGCCATGTTACTGGAAAAAAATAGTGCCATATATGTGGAGCGTTGGAACAAGGCGGATCACGGAAAACGGTTTGTGTTTTCCGGAACATATTTTTCTCGCAGTTTCCTAGAAGTATTCCTTTTTACTTTCTTTATTTACTTTAATCAAACTAGGAGAGGAATTAATTAATTAATTAATTGACCAAGCGCGCGACGAATACTTTCGAAAGCCTAGGAATAGAATCCAAAATGCCCAAAATGTCTCATGGATGGCGTACTGCAGTGTTCATCATTTCTTTTCTCATTTCACACGTGGCAAAAATGTCGCCCTTTGGTTGTCACGAGATTAATTTGGGATTTGTAGTTTAATTTTCTTGCATGGGTCTTAGCAACAGTTTCCCTCCAATTTATTCCAATTTTAAGGAAGCGTATATTTCAGTGGTAACGCTGTCGTCAAGCACCGCCACTACCTAGTTCTCACATGCCATCCACCGTACCAAGCGGTTGCTCTTTACCGTTGCTATGCTTTTTTGGAGTAAAAAAGTGAAAGAATAGAAAACTGATTGAAAGAAAGGCGAAGCAATTCCCTCGATAGGTGTGAAGGATAGCATTTAAGTCCCCCGTTCGCGTACTACCGGGTTCGAAACCCAGTTGAAGTTCCAACTTTGGCTCATATCTCAGCATCTTTGTTGTTGCATGGGAAGAGTTTACTCTCTTCAACGTAAATTGGAACGCTTCAGTCCGACTCTTTCAAGACTCCAAGGAGAATCACGTCATTCAACGCTCAACGACATTCGTAATGAAGACGAGAATCCTCAAACAGCAGCCGTTCCCTGGCGCAAAAAGTCCGAAGAACTTCTGGAATGATAAGGGGAAAGAAATCAATTGAGTGCAAGAAATGCTGGTATCCCTACAGCAAATGTGAAGATGGATCGTGTAGAATAAAAAGACATTATAGCACAAATTGTGTTTTTTACAAAATTTAGGGGTTAGATTTTCAGATCTCAAGATAGCAATTTCAATAAACCTACAATTTCAAACTCAACGTGGTGGAGCGCAAATGTCTCGAAACATTGATGAGGCAAGGGACCGAGAAATTATTAACGAATACAGAATGCAAAGTTGGTTTGGAAAACTTCGTTATGGCGAATTCAACATTGAAGAAGAGAGAGGTCACGAAAGTCCTCATCCCATTGACTACGAAGAATTAAAGCTTTAATGGAAGCAATAACATGTATAACTGTTCTAGAACTTGCGGAGGAACTCAATGTATCATCACCTGTCACCCGTTAATCGTTGAGTGATTCGAGCGGGTGTAAGTAAACTTTCCATATCTTCCTGTCGTATGCAAGAGTTGGCCAGTGAGTTCTCCTCGATCTAAGAACTCATTGAACGTCATGCCTTTCTTTTAGGGTTTTCGTGAAGAATTCTGACCATCGAGGAAATCGAATCGCATATGGCTTTTGTCCGTCAGTTGGCGTGTACACGTATTAACGTGTCCGCCCCACTTTATCTTCGACAGTTTGGACTGGAGAACGGTGCCTTTGATTTTAGATCATTGAAGTAGATCGGAACTTCGGATTCTTTCCCTCACTTGGTTGATACGGAATAGTACTGGCATCTTCCTTTCGACTACGCGTTCAATAATGCTGAGTAATCTTTCATCCTGTTTACGCGACGGCCAAGTTTCTGACGCATACGTCAAAACAGAAAGAATCATGAAGTCGAGAAGGTGTGTGTTCTTTTGTTTTCTTCATTACGTCCTCGATGATCTTGAAAGCTCACTAAGTTGTTGCCCTGCTGAACTCTGGAGCTAAGTTGTTCATCGTGAATTCAGTGTTTAAATCTCAATTGTTTGGAAACATCTAAAGAAAAATACAACATTAAAAGGAGCTCTGCAGATTGGTGTCGCGTGAGTTGACAATTTACGAAACAGTGTCGGCGTTTCTTCCTGACAGCCAGAACGACAGGAAGTGGATCTTTTACGGCAACCGGCAACATTAGGCTCAGTGACTAGACTGCGGTAGAGGTCCTCAGTAATTCCTAAAGTCGAAACTGTATCAAAGGAAGGGTATACTGACCTTTTGTTTTACAGCTGTTTTGATCCATCACAGTTCCCTGTTCCCTGAATCTGGGTGAGACGACTACGGCGGCGGTGGCGCATCGTATAACTGACTGTGCAAAAGCTGAATGTACTAAACTCCGAAGTTATTCTTTATCCCCGTACTGGCCAAGCCTCTCGTATACCACCTACCATTTCTTCAAGCATCTGGTAGCTTTTTATTCAAGAAATGCTTTAGAAACCGAGCCAAGATCGAATCTGCCTCCAGCGATTTAGTTGTCTTCAGAGTTCTGAAGTTTACAAAACGTATAAATAAATTTGTTTCCCGTTGGCAACAATGTAGATTTTAACTGTTACCATTTAGATTAATGTAGTTTGTTTTCAGTTGAGCTATGCCACCTTAAAAGTACAAGTTGAAATCTGGCACTATTTTTCGGACTATCTATTACACCAATCTTATCACCTGTTGCTTGGTTAGCCATCGCTTAATTTGCGCGCGTACCAGTGAGCTTAATTTAGCCCGTTGAACTGCAGTCACATTCTTCGCACAGAATCATGTTTTTCATTTTTGGCGAAAGAGTAGCCACTTTTGGTTCGGCGGACCACATCACGGCATAGATTTACAATTAGCTGTGCTTTCTGATGGAAATGCCAGGCTTTTAGGGACGCGTAGGCTCTGAGCGAGAGCCTCAGTGGTGCCGTACTTAACACTTGAGCCACCTGAAACGGTAATCGCGGTTCGATCTGGCCTAGGGCCCAAGATTTGCAAAGTCTCAGCATCATTGTGGTTCTATTTCACATAATACCCTACCGTGAAAACAAAGAAGAATAATGGGTAGTAGATAAGAATCACACATTGCAATTTCGACTACACCCTCAGTTTAACGGGTCATTGCTGATGACATCGTTAGGGTAAAAAGACTGGCAGGAAGAAAAGGAGAATTAGGGCCTCAGTGGCGCCGTGTGTAACATATGAGCTTAGTCACAGTTCGATCTAGCCTGAGGTCCAAGTTTTGCAAATTTCTCAGCATCATTGTGGTCGTCAGGTTTTTCTCAAAATTCTGTATCCGAAAATGGTGTGTGTTGTGCGTAGAATTATTTGGTTTGGTCTAATATGACAACTACTGCTTTTCTTGTGCACCATATTCATAGATGCTTATCTCAAAAGTTATTGCACATAACAGAATCAATTCCACTATCTTTTTCATTGTTTTAAAGTTTTTTAAGTTTGTAGCTAGTTAGTAGACTTTTTGCTTGACTCATTTCCTTTGCTTTCTAAAAACTGGATACGCACTGCCGTTAAGGTGATATTGTGTGGGCTAGTTGGTCTGATAGTAGCCGTGTTGAAGGTGCCCTGCTGGGACTAACGTATCGGGTACATCGTCGAACTATCTGGCCGCTGAGTAGTGGAATATAGCTGTTTGAGGAGATTGGACGTGAAAAATAATGAGTTGAACCTGTGGACGTGCTGAATTGCACTGAAGTGGTTTCAAATACGGTTTTAGTCATGGTTTTTTTGTAAAAGTTGCCGTTGAAATTATCGGTTATGAATAGACAAAAGCTATGGAGTGTTCGTTTTTCTTACATTCCTTAAAAGTAACATTCCGTCTGCACCGTTCTTATCATTTGCGGTTACAGTTTTTCCTGTTCTTTGAGTTGATTTCTCCAACAAAGAAGTAAGATGATCGCGTCAAGGGACACTTTCCAAAGTTCCCAGTTTTTCCAAGGGGCAAAACTTAGATTGTTTAGTCACTCATTGCCTTTATTTACATCTCATGCTGCAAACCACTCAAAGATTCCATTATCTGATGTTGTATACATCCTGGTTCTGGTTCTGAATAGTGGAACTCCGTTTGCTATTTTATGTACACCCAATCCAAAAGCATTAAGAGAAAAGGGCCAATTGCGAGAATTGTACCCTATGTTTCTTGCGGGTAAACGAAACCCACTTATGCTCCACTTGCTAGTAACAGAAGCGGATGGAGTCTATATATCTGCTCGGTTCGTTCAATAATTTACACGCCTAAAAAAGGTAAAAATACATCAGTATAGTCCGAACTCGTGTATAAATGTTTAACATATGCAGATTCGTTTGGCTACATCACGTGGAGAACTTCCCTGTGTGCTTCGCTCACTTGATGGAGTTAGGCGTCACGTTTTCATGAATGGCTCTTTATTTGTATTATTTTTTTTAACATGAGGATGTCCATGGGTGCCTTATCGGATTCCGCCAGAATAGGTGTTAAATTTATTTGTTAGTGGTAACTTCGATTTCCCTTCTGCTTCCCAATCCTTCGGTTTTCAGCAGACTTTTGACCGAATTTACGTGTCCAATACAATTCCCATGTATGTAAACAAATCTACATACTCATTCATTAATATGTATACCCACATATATAACGTATATGTCATTCGGCGCAGCAGAATCCGGGAATCCATTCATTGAATCCACCATTATCTAAAGGCGTGCACGAAGTGACTTTTCGCTTTGTTCAACCTTTTGTCCTCCATTTGGGGTTGTACGTAGCATCGCATTTAACGGTTTGCGTTACTCATAATATCATTGGTAAATGTGTCATTAAAATAAAACAGCTCTGATAAGTTACCCGAAATATCTGAGAACTTCATTTAAGGCCGTTATTTGTATCAACGTGGAGTGACTGGGATCTTCGAGCTTTTGCTGATGCGTCTCTCCATGACGTTGAAAGATGCGTAGAGTTTATTCGTGAATTTGATCCTTTGAGGTAAATTTGACGTTTCTTAACTTCCAGTACACTTTGGTTTTCTGACTGTACTTGTTATTTGCTGTGTTAATATTTACCACATGTTGTTGATTAAAATTTCTTAAACTACTTCCTAGAAAACGCAGCCATCACATTTGAATTTTTATTCCAGTATATATCCGCCTGGAGGACTGCAATTCTCTACGCTTTGGAGCAGGGGTGTTGAACTTGATATGAAAGAGTGGTCGATCACTTTTAAAGATTATCCTATTCCTTACCTGCTTACTAAAAACGTGCACTTTTTCGGCAGTTTGGTGGGTGCGGAGGAGTTTGAAGGTTTGCTCATCTTGTCTTCTTATGTTTCTACTTCCTTCTTAATTTCTGAAAAGAAGAGTGGTCATAGTAATATTCACCCATATCTAATAACTGTTCCTGTCAGAACGAGGTCGGTCTATTCGCGAATGTCAAATACCTCTACCGAAACCATGGGAATCGCTCACTGTAGAACGTAATATGGCGCCATTAAAATTCTACTACGATATGCAGTGTGGTAAGTACGACTGTTCTGATTATATTTGATTTAAATTCATTGTTTTTTTCGTACCTTACAATAATTACCTTCCACTGCTTGAACGCACTAGTAAGGCCATGTTGGGAACGAACATGTTAATCCTCGATCACTAGAATATTTCAAGAGTTCAAGACTTTATAAACTCAAAGGAGAGACTTTTTCTATCACGGTAGGCAAAACTCTGGACTGCAGGTGTCTTTGGTCGGAATCGAACCCACTGTTACACTTTCCGGGGCTAACGTTTTCACCACCACCCCCAGAAAAGGTAATACTGGGTTCGATTCTCACTGCATACGCCTGCGGTTCGGAGTTTTGCAAATATCTCGGCATCATTGTGGCTGTAAACTATACATATATAAAGGAGCAAACTTGGGAGCACCACCTTGTCTTACTGGATGAAATTCCGCTCGTTCGTTTGCTTTTGTTTTGGAAATAGCATCATCGGAAAAATGAAGTGGAAAAATATATGTCATGGACTCCAGGAAATCAGAATTTCCTCGTAATAAAGCATAGAGACTTTTGTATCGTAGGCAAAGATTTATGGTTTCAAGTAATTTCTATTGCGATCAATAGAGTCTGCTGTAAGCTGATATATGATGATTTATAGTTGAAAACTGCCATTCTTTTGTATCGTATCATTCTAATAGATGTCATGTCATCGCGAATGAATTGAATTAAGTGACGTGTTTCATTAGTTTACTCGAAATCGTTAAGTGTTCCAGAAAGTTCTGATTTCTCGGCTACCTACGGTCCATGCTGGGAACCGTGCTTATCGATGATCAGCTTAATGTGGAATAATATTAATGCGCCATCGAGAGATCCCTCTATCCCATTACCATTTTGGGACAAATTGCGTTTTCTATTGCATGGACGTTTCTCGTGGCTCAGTTCTAAGGTATGTTAACTTAAGAGTTAGTAATTGATTGACTTTATCCAATGCTTCATTGTTTTGATGTATTTAAATAGGAGCGAAGCCTGCGATATTTTACTTTATACATAGGTTGTTACAACAATGTTGGCCTCTCCGGATCCGTATAATACGACCGAGACAGTGGAAATCTGTTGGGATGAGTTTGGTTTGGATTGGGGGCTAGGTCGGTTTGTACTTTTTTGACCAGTTCAATCCGGTTCAATGTTTTAAAAGTTCCTTTCTTTCATTTAATTTCTAGTGTTGATCCTTTGACTTCATTCTAAAACTCAAAAACCGTCCATGAACTCTTATCACCTTCATTCTTGCACTAGTTTTCAAGTGCGTAGATTTCTTTTTAATTTTTCTTGGCTAGAAAAGCAATCTATCATTGTAGGTGAAGTACGAATTTGCTCTGCTTTACGTGTTTTCATGCGAACAGCGTCACGGTACGACGATTCGCGAATTCTTTTCTTACCAGACCTTCGACTTCGTATTATTTTAGGTCGTTCCTTATCTGTTTCTTAGTTTTCAATCTGTTCGTGTTTCCCTCTAAGATTTGTTAAAAGTTTTCATAGCAGACTGGATTTGTAGCGGTGATCCACATGACCATCATGCTGTGACAATTTGTGCACCGCACCGTCTACCCCATTATTCAATGGTTCGATTATAGCTGCTGGTTTTCGATATATACGAATATATACATATATATGTTTGTATATATGTATGTGTATAATCAGGACCATGACTCATATCGTGCATTCCGTTCGTCATCATTGGATCTCTCGTTGTCATTCGATGTGGCGGCTGGTGCTGGAAACGGAGAGACCGGTGATCGTCTTCCGCATGTTCTTCTATATGCAAATACTTTTCGTTGTATTGAGTTTCTTCTTGTAAGTAATGTGCTTGTTTTCATTTCTTATAATGTTGTGATTTCGTCATTTTTTATTTACTGCCTGTTCTTTTTAATGGCAGGGTATTATGTGAAGTATAACCATAGTGATGCTGAAATATTTGCAAAACATCGGACCGCAAGTGTCTGCGATGGGGATTGAACCAAACCTCATTAGCCGTTCCGGGGGCTGAAGCTTACATCACCACACCATGCGAGTACTTCGTTTCACCTTTCTCTTAGCTGTGTTGTTGACCTGTAGGTGACTTGAGCAAGCAGAATAGGCGGAAAATGAAAAGTGACGACATTGTAATTTATACTATGGCTTCAGCTTAACTGGATTGAATGCCAATTTGTGTTCTCCACATCAGTCTCTTTAACGGGTGATTGCTGACAGCACGTATAAGTCAATAATACGGGTGAAAGAAAGGCAAAACGAAGGACTTGCATTGTGTTTTGGTGAATACGTTAGCCTCCGGAAAGGGTAATAACACGTTCGGTCCACACCGCAGCACCAGCGGTCCGGAGATTTGCAAATATCTTAGCATCATTGGTGTTGTTGTTATTACATGGTTTTTTAGTAACATTAAGTCGTGCAGTAGCGAAAAATGCGAATAGCCAGTTTTTCCATGTTGGGATTTCTTAGTGGAAGCAGTTTAATCATCAGAAAATCCACTTTCATTATATTGTGTTCTACGAAGTTTGCTTTAGTCACAAAAAACTTCATAAAGGAAAAAATTGAGCTAAGATCACTTTTATTAGTTTTTTCACTACCGTGATTCTTGGCAGGTTTCGAAATTCATTACTTATAGAACACCCTTACGATGAAGAATCGAAATATACGAAAAGGTCGTCTATTCGGAACTCCATTTTACCCGAAGCCACAATTAGGGAAACATTTCCGGTGAGTGAACTTTAGCTCATCAGTCGTAATAATAAAACTGTTGTATCAAGTCGCCTTTAATAAAACCAAGAATGAATTTAGGAACGTGCAGGTATCTTTAAATTTTCCAAAGTTCTATATTACGTATTGGATGTCGCATTCGTCTGATTACGGTTTTCGTTTGATCTCCGATGGTTTGAATCTCCTCGCCTCGATGAAGCTAACAGTACGAGCTGAAAGTGTCGGGGTAACAAGTTTTTGTATTTACTAACGCTCATTTAGCAGACCTGTCGGGTGCGTGTAGCGCAGTGGTCGGAGGCACCCTGCAATACACATGGGATCGATCTTCGCGCTCCGGGCTCACCAAGCCTTCCATCCTTCCTGGGTCTGCAAATTGGTATCACACCTGTCTGATATAGCACTTGCTTGATACATCGGTAGGCCACCGCGAGTCATTGTATAGGCAAGATATGAATTCAATCGCCTCCAGCGATGCTTAATGAAGTCGAATGCATGGCGCATCCCTTAGAGATTGATCAACGCAGGGAGCTTTGTCCATTTTATCCATTAAACAGAACGTTATGCAAGCTTTATTTTTGAATCATTAGCCATTTTTAGGGTATTGCTCGTTGTAGAACTTGTGTATGGCATGCTCAACATGTATCAGCAACATTATGGGGAACACAGGTGTTATCACGTTTAAAGCATCATCGCGTTCTCGTTTCTTACATCACTTGTTGTTTCTGTTATATTTCTTAAACAAACATTCATAATCGTAACTCTTCTTAGGTACACGTCTACAGCAATGGACACGTACCATCTGCTGATGGTATTTCAAGCGATGAGGAAACGTTTCTTCTTGGCTTAAATCGTGTTTCATACGTCAGAGAGAATAATCGTGGCAACGAATCGGCACAGCACAGACTAACTGTACATGATTTGAAGGTAAAACAAATGATCAAGCTGAATGGCTAGCTTGTTACTGTCGTCTTGACTTGGTCCCATGCAACTTGGAATTATTAGAGTTCTCATAATATCGATGTGTGTTTTGCAATTATTCTAAAGACTTTAAGGATTCTAAGGACTGTGTTTAAAAAAGATACTATTTCAAGGCATCATGGACAGCACAAAATCGCGATTCTTGCATTACAATTGCTGATGGTGTTCATAGAGCTCATATGCTTCGCCGAATCCTCAGTAATGATGCTCTTAAGATTCTTAAGGTGTGTTATTTTATAGATAAAACACATTTTTTCTTTATTAAATGGGACGGTATTGTATGTACTTAACACTTCTTTAGAACAATTCGAAGTGTTATGAGTCATATGTGTTCCTTACGTTGCCAAATCTAACTTAAGATTTTTTCATGGATTTATTTCCACTCACATATTTAGGCATATTTTAACTTTCCAACTTTGAAGGACTATATTACAGGCCATGGGAACCGTCTTAAGATTGCTATAACCTACAAATTTTTGCTAAGAATATAAAACCTGTGTTCTTCTACCGAAAATGTTTTTTTTTTCGCTTTTTCTTCATATTTTAGTTGAACAAGTTGGGTTTTTGTTCAAAAGAATGATATATGAAGAAGAGGATTGTTTTTTATCCACTGAAGAAGATTGTAAATACTTGAACTCTTCAGCATTCTGAAAATTTGAATTCTTGACGGACTTAGAGCTACGATAATGTTTTAAAAATCATTTACATTTAGCCCTGAAACAAAGTCCTTTCTATTATTTTGTCAAGTTCGTGTTTTCTCTATGATCAGTTGAATAGTCATCTGAAAGTTTCCGAAGTTTTTGGAAAGACCAGAATCTTCGCGAATATGTTGAAGAACGTACATTGAACGTCGTTAGCGGAGTTAAGAGCCTTTAACTATGTACAATCTTTTCCACAAAAATGCGGGTTCTATAATACTAGCACGGTGATTTTCTAATTTTCTTGAGTTTTTTACTTTTTTTATCGAGATTTATATTTGGAGGAGTGAAGCGATTGAGTAAGCAAGAATCTGTCCAGCTGAACGCAGTAATGTTTTCGAATGCCGGACTTCCGTCAAAAATACTTAAAAAATTACTTTTTGGAAGTCTTGTTTAGGAAGTGGTGTGAAGGTAGCATTTTAGGCGACTTGTATATGCATTGGAGTGACAAGGGCAAAGTTTTTTCTATAAATCTCGGAAGAATTGGTAGTTGTCGGCAGCCAGTTGCGAATACATGGGTTGTTGAATTCAAATACACCAGTTTCATATGTCTATCAAATGTTGTGTTCTTATTATGGTTTTTGACTCAAAGATAGTAAAAGTGATAGATAAAAAGTCATCGCTTACAGCTGCATATGGAAGAGGAAGGCCACGTATCAGTTTCTACAGATACAGCAGCAGTTGGTAATTCTAGCCCTAAAAACGACAGTAGTCATCGTCGTGGTTTCAGTATGTCGGATCAGAATCAGTCGTTGCTTAACCAGCTTATTGGGGAAGCAAGTACGAGGCTTGTCGCTCATTGTGAACAGGTTAGATGAATAAAATCATCCCAGCAGAATATAGGGAATTTCTCTATCAAATAGAGAGTTCTCTATTTACCTAACAAATAGTATAAATCAATGGAAAACATTTCTCGTGGTTGCCATGTAATCTATTGTATAGTAAATTATTAGCCACAACGCCCGCTTCTATGCACCACACAGAACAAAAAAAAAAAGAAAAATCATCAATTTTGTGTGGAATTAGATGACTTCAAAAATATCCTGTGGTATTTTGATGACATGAATTGTAACCACAATGATGCTGAGATAATTGCAAAACTCCAGACTGCAGGAGTCTGCGATGGGAATCGGACTCGCTATTACCCTTTCCGGGTGCTTTTCGGAACTTTGCAAATATCGCAGCGTCAAATATTGTGGTTGTAAGTTCACATCATACCCTGTCATGAAAAAGAGTAGGCAGTAAATAAAAAGTGATTACATCGTGATACGAATTGTCTTAATAACTGTTTGATTTTGATCTCACTTTTAAGGCAGCAGATCTTCCAACCGATTCTCTGTTGGGTGCATTACAATGTACATCAGATGACGTACGGAACATCAATTGGCAGAGTGGGTTGGAGTTTATACTTTTGTTTGCTACCCATTATGAAATGTCTATTTTGAGCTAAAGTTGGACATGCTGTAACTTTTTATATCAGTCTCCTTCATAGTGAGGATTTTCACAATCAGTACATTGCTGCCGATGTTTTGAAGGTCGCTGACCAGATAACTGAGGAACAGGCGAAACGAAGGACGCGCATGGTGTGGTGGTGAACGCGTTACTCCCCGGAAAGGATAATAACGCGTTTGTTCCCCACAGCAGACACCTGCGGTTCGGAGTTTTGCAAATATATCAGCGTCATTGAAGTTATATTTCTCAATATACACTGCCGTTAAAAAGAATAGGCAGTAAATAATAAGTTAGAATTGTGATTATAACTGAAGCCTCAGTTTAACTGGATTTAATGCTGATTTGGGCTCCGCAGATCAATACCGTTGACGGGTGATTGCTGTTGGCAGAGATCGATAGAACTCTGACCAGATAGTTTTAAAATCGCACAACAAGCTTCTTGTCTTCGTTTTTTTCTTTGCTTTCGTCTGAATTGGCAAACTGAATACAGATTAGCGCAAAAGAATTAGCTTCAGAACTGGACCGAATCTATATTTGAAAATGGTGTGAAAGCACTTACATGTAAAAATTCATAGGCAGATGATTAGAGTAGGGAAAAACACCTGAAATTTTCATGGTCCATTGTGGAACAGTTCATTTTGAGAAGCTTAGGTCAACCACTTATTTTATACGTTTGCGTTGCAGTCGATTTACTGAACAGTCAAGTTGTGCTGAAGGGATGTGAACGTGCTGGATTCGTTTTGCTTACGGCTGCTCGCGCTAGTGTTACCCAAAAGGTGAGGTTTTTTCGAAAGAATATCGTTGCCATTGTGTATTACTGTTTCGAAAAAAGACCAGCATAACTTTTCAGGTTGTAGTCATTAAGTTTTTGTTTCCGAAAGTAATTAAATAGTTTTTTCTCTGGCTTAGCACTCTAAGAAGGTGCTGAAATGAAATCTATCATTCTTAGCTCCTTACCCCTTCCAAAATGTTTTGCAAGTTTGTACATTTCCATATTAGTAATCCACTTAGGTGCTCTGTCAATGTAGGTCCATCGTTGTGTTTGGCGAAATGGGCAACTGTTGGGAAAGAAATCGTGGTCTTCTGTCATATCTGGAATGCAATACTTCGCACCGGTATCTATTCCCATTGGACGGAATTTTGAGTCGTCATTTAGATGGCTTTCAAGAGAGGTGAATTGGTGTGCCATGAATGTCATAATTTGAAGTTGCTTTGTAGATTGTTCGTGTTTACAGCAGTGAAATGAAAATTCAAAAGGGTAGGCTTACGAGCATATCTTTGAAAGGTGAATTTTTTACACCTATGTAAAGGATGACCTACCAACAGTTTACCGCCTCATCGTGACCTGGAGGTGTTCCTGGATGTCGAGCTGCGATGCACAGCGAGGAGATTCATCCTCCCAGCGTGGTCTCCCAAGCTGAGGAGTTCGGCGTTTCCATCAAGAAACCCAGTTAAGAGTAAATCAATACCAGGTTCCACCACCGTCCTGGTATCAAACTAACGCATGGTGGCAAATCTCCTTGTCCACATAGGCGGTGGTAACTGGCTGTGGTGGTGATGACCTGAGGTAGACTTTGTGTAGGCTGACCTCGGGACTCCAAGGAACCACAATGGCTGGACCGGTAAAGCTTCGAAAAAGTGGAAATTATGTTGGGGCTAGCACAACCAGTGAACACGATCCATCCAAATAAGTGTGTAAAGGTTGAAGAGTATTGTGCATGGTTTTCATCAACACGTTATTTGTTCATAGATTGACGTCCTCGTGTTTTGTTTGTAACTTTACTGTAGCGTTGAATGTTAATTTAACATATGATTTGACTTACGCGAGTGAGTCAGTTAACAAATTAGTATTTTATCATGTGTTTTGTCCGAAACTCAGCTGCTAGAAGAGCAGTCTTGGGTAGATTAGGTAGGTTTGACTGCATTAGCAGTGATGGGTCGGATGAGGTGTAAACATAAGGGTGTCATTGTACAGTACAAGAGATCTGCTCATCGTTTCGTTCGGAAGTAACTGCAAGAGAAAACCGCCCATATTTATAGGTTATTGAAGAGAAAACTCCTTCCGGTGCAATAGGAGATCCGTATTTGCATCCTTACATAGGTGCCGGTGAAGCTGTTGGTGGAGTGGTGGATGTAGAAGAGTCGACAGACAAGATTCAACTCCAGCGAATTGTTTCCAGATGTAGTTGTGAGATATATTTTTGCTACTTTTCTGAAGAACTGAAGACTGATACACTGGAAGAGAGTGGTGTACCGAAGGTGAGTTTTAATATGCACTTCGTAGCTGTTATTGATCCTCTAGCTCCAACCTTCGGAATCTGGAGTTTTTTTATCTTTAATATGTTCTCGACGGAAAATTAGAATTCAAAACTAAGTCTGATATCGATTTGAAGTTGGTTACCTTATTTCGACATCTCAACTTCTCAATTACATTGAATTATTTCGTATCTATTTCTTTATTCTCTAGGTAGAACAAGAAACGGCCATTGGTGGAGAGGAAACCGGTGTTGATTGTTTCACGTTGAAGCATAATATGTTAGAGGCTGTTAGTAATTCAGATCAGGTACTTTTTACAAGCGTATTGTTTTTTGCGACTACTAGCATACTTTCCGTAGAATTCCAATTGATTCCAGTATGAAATGATGGTTGATATCGTCAACAACCTCGTTCTGTTTGTTCATCCGAAGAAAAAAGAACTAGCTGAGCGTCGGAGAAAATTACAGTTTGCTTGCAAAATGGCTGATATGAATGAGATGCGAGAAAAGATTGTGGAGCAACAGGTAAGCAGAGTTAAAAAGAAAAAGATTGAAACAATTTATTCAGCGTGTCAGAAATGTAGGAGGGCTAGGGACCAGCTAGGGACCTCCTCAAAACTTTATAATTTGGGTCTGGTTGCACAGACTCGTATTTCCTGCTGTTTTTCTTGTTTTTTGTTTTTGTTACTTGGATACTTGGATATGGACACCAGGATGGCTCGTCTCCACCGGTTTCGTGGACCCAAGCATAACTTCCATTTTTTCGGAGCTTTGCTGATTTAGGCAGTGTGGTTCTCTGGAGTTCGGAGGTCACGCTAGCCAAAGTCTGCTTTGGGTACTCGCGACCACAGGCAAACGCCGCTATTGTCAGATCAGAAGATTTGCCACCATGCGACTAGTTTCATAGCAGAACGTTGATGGATCCTGGTGCTGATTCACTCTTAGCTGTGCTTCCTGATGGAAACGCCGGGCTCCTTCTCAGCTTGGGAGACCGTGCAGGGACGGTGAATCCCTCTGCTGTACATCACAACTCAGCATCCAGGAGCACCTCGCAGCCACGATGAGGCGGTAAACCGTTGAGAGATCTATGAGAGAGACCTTGCTGAAGTAAATCTGCTCCTCCTTCATAGAGTAAATAGAGAGGGAGAAGGAGTATTGTTCCGTGTTGAGGAGCGAAGTTTCAATGGTATGGTGGTCTAATGCTACACATTCATTAATCTGCATTCGTTCGTTTGAAAATCTTCTGTAGTAGAGCTGAAGGTTTTTGATATTCGCTCATTGTGTTAATTGTATATATTTCAGTCTGATTTACGCGATATTGTTTCTGTTGTCCGATCACTCGAACGCCAACTGTTTTACTTGGATACTCAATCGGATGGAAACATTGATGAGCAGAAAAGACGCGAAATCGTTGAAGAAATGGAGGAGAACAAAACCAAGCAGCTGGAGGTTTCTGAGAAACTGGCCATATATATCAGGTCTGTTATGGGCCCTGAGAATACGTATACATACATATATATATATATATGTATATATATATATATATATATACCGTGTGTCATACGTTTTGCAAGGTCTAGCACCTCTATTTGTTTCATTTCCTTGGCGCTATCATCGACGGAGATGGTTGGATTCCTGGTCTTTCTTCCTACTTGCTTGCAGTCCTATCCTTTTCGTAGCCCTATGGAACTGTATGAGCACCATCTTCGCTTCACTAGTAGTTTACGAAATTATAACATTGACATGAACATCAGCAACACATGGAAGTAGTTTTTCACAAGTGTTGTTGTTCTTTGCGTCCCATTAGAACCATTTCATAAACCATCGCCACTTAACGCTAATCACCTTTGATGTTTCACTGTCGAGCCTTTTCTATGGAGCAGTGGCTTCTCGTCTTTATCAGTTTAATAACATCGTGCCTATGGTAATTAACCTTAGTTTGCTTCGCCAGGTTAAAGGTTAAAATGCGTGCATTCTAAGTACATATTGCTATTGTCATCTTTCCACAACCGAGCAGCCTGGAAGAGCCCTCAGATTTTAATAGCGCTTCCACTATACACTTATACATGGCAGTTTAATATTGAAGACTTTTATATAATGCTGAGATATTTGCAAAACTCCGGACCGCAGGTGTATGCGGTGGGGAACGAACACGCGTTGTTGTCCTTACCAGGGAGCAGCGCACTTCACCACCACACCATCCGGGTCCTTCGTTTTGCCTGACTCTCAGCTAGTTCCATCGATCTTTTTGCCATCAGCAATCACCCGTCAACGGGATTGATCTGGTGAGCACAGATGTTCCTTCTCCACCGCATACACCTGCGGTCCGGAGTTTTGCAAATATCTCAGCATTATATACGAGTTATATTTCGCAACATACCCTGCCATTAAAAAGGAAAAGGCAGTAAATAAAAGGGTTAAGATTGAAGACTTTATTCGAACTAGGGGAATTAGTCATTTGCTTTCTGTGAGTTCTACGTTTTCATCCAGTAGGTAGAAGTGTAGATGCCGCCGAAGTAATCTGACAAGTTTAGACAGCCAAGGTTGAACATTCAACCTTCAAAGTTTAGGAAAGCACAAGAGAAGTCATTATTCATGTATGAATCCTTCATTCTGAACAGCTCTTGAAAAGGGAGTGTGTTTCCTTGTGACGATGAATGAGATTTGAGACTGTCCCGAAGAGCACGTTCATTGAGCTGAGTCAAATGTACCTCCACTCATTCATACATATCCCATGTAAAGCGTAGTGGTACTTCGTGTTATTGGTATCGATTAACACATTGTGCACTTATGTTTTCTGAAGAACTGTTGAAAACAGCCACAGTGGTGTTGAGATGTTTACAAAATTGCGGACCGCAGATGTCTGCAGTGGGGATCGAACACGCTACTACCTTCTACAGGTGCTAGAGCGTTCACCACAATACCACTTAAAATTGTTGAGTATTTAAGTGGAGTAATTATAATAAACGCTCCTCAAGACTGCACTATAGTTTCACAATCTTGTTCAGTTGCTACAAACAGCGTCAAGTGGAGGCGGCACGTGCAACTGTCTGTAGCAAACTCGAAGAAGAAGATATCTTAGCAGCTGTCGCTAGACGGTTTGAGGTATGATTTATAGGTCGTTTGTTGACTACTTTCCGCTTTCTAAGGTCATGTCTAGCAATATTCAAGCTTATTTTTAAGAAGATCTAAGACTTATCTAAGATTTTTAGGTGTTATCACCAAGGAAGAGTGTTAAATTTAGTTTTTGAAGTTCTTTTCTAGGTTTGCTTTGAAGATTGCATTTGGAAGTTGACAGAGTGTGATGGTCAAATCGCTATAGCACAAATTCAGATCAGGAATTTCTTGTTAGTTTATGTTAACATTCTGGTCAGTTAGTTCTCTGCAGTTTTTCGAATATAATGAATGTTCTCGATTCAATGTTAACAAACTTGTTCCAACTTTCGTAAACAACTTTTTTCTGCTGTGCTTTTATAGTTTTTGTTTTTTTCGAAACGCCTCTATTTTTTGACAGTTTCAGCTCTCGAATGAGCCTAAGCCTCAGACAGTTAGTAAGCGTATACAACACTAGAGGGTTTTCTATGTCACTAAGTTGGAATAAATCTAAGTGTTAGAATCAAATTGGCTATATTTTCAAAAGAGACGCGTGTACTGCAGTTGTCGGATGCGCCGTGCAATACACATGGGATCGATCCCCGGCCCCCAGGCTCACCAAGCCCTCCATACCTCCGGAGTCGGCAAATTGGTACCAGACTTGTCTGGGAGGATAGCATCACTGGCTTGATACATCGGTAGGCCTCCGCGAGTCATTGTAAAGGCCAGATATGCATACACTCACCTCCAAACGGTGCTTAATCAAGCTGAATGGATGGCACATCCCTCAGGGATTGATCAAGGTCGGGAACTTTATCCTTTTCTTATCCTTTACATGTTCAAGATCGTAGTAATTTTAGAATGGCGCTCATATTCGTCACTGAGTATCTGAATGCCACATTTTTTGCCTATAACAGATTCCATTTATTGTTACAGCAATCGAAATTGACCTTTTAAATTCAACTGACTTGAACTAGTGGGAGAACACATTAACGAAACTAGTAGTGCAAAGTTCTGTGTTGCTTATCTCACAAAGAGAACTGAATGGATAGACGTTCTACGTTTTAACGTTACCTAAAGTACGAGTTATTGTATTATGTAACACTCTCTTTATTAAGGTACACACGAACGGTTCGCATTGATAGCTCAGGAGAGCATCATTTTGAGGTTTGATGTTTGCTACTGTTACTGTTCACCTTAACTCGGAGCTTCTATTCAGTCTATGAGGTTTCAGATCGGGACTATTCGTGTAACGAATCTACTGCCAGACACCATCTATAGAGATACACTGCATCGGTAAGTTTTCTTTTTCTTTGTTTTTTCCTCAGTTAGATTGCAGACTACGTTCCATGACATACCAAGGTTACAGTAGGTTTATTTTTCACCTTTTTGGTTAGTTATTTGTTTGAATCTAACATTCTACCATGTTTGGATCTGTAGATAATTTATGTCAGTATGCCCTATATCTGATTATATTTAAGTGATGAGCGAGTTCAATCCCGACAGCCTTCTATCAGACTAATGGTTCGCGATATGGCACCAGGTTATTATTATGCCTGTACTTCAATCTAATATATCTCAATCTCATATATGATATATTTTCAGTTGGTGGCATATGCGTAAAAGAACTATTTGAAGTGAATATCGCTCCGATGGTAGCTCAACTAACATATCGTTTTTTCGAAAAAATCATGCTTTTCTTCTTTCCTGGTCGCAACATCCACAAAGAGGACAATTTGGATTCTGTCGAAGAAGGAACTCCGGTAGATTTTTTCGAAGCAAAGTCGTCTAGTACATTGTTCATTTTCCAAGACCGACTTCCTATTAACTTCGGCGTTGATTGATAATTCACTTTTTCTTCGATAAGCAAACACGAGGTTGGCATTATAGAATTTATTAGCATACAATAGCTGACGCTTCGGGTGTCTTGCCTTTTTCAGAGCCTAGAAAAGTCTAGGTGACATGCAATCTATTCAGCCAAACACTTTCATAACTCTAACCTTAGCAGATAAGACTTAACACATAGATTTGGGTGGATTGCATGTCAATTTTACCTTTACGGGCTCCGAAGATGGCGAAACCGCCGAAACATCACCTATTCTATGCTAATAAATTTTGTAATACTAACTTCGTGTTTGTTTATCGAACAAAAACAATGAATTGCTCATTTCATTGGTATTCGGAATGGGTACAGCAGTGATCACGGTATTCACTATCATTGCACCATTCTTCAGAAGTTCTCTCTCACTCGTCGCATTGCCGGTACGCTTAGTATGCGAAGTAACAAGCCAGTACAAGTTGAGCGGAAATCCAGCAACAACAACAGCAAGGTGTTTTAAGCGTTAGTCATTTGAAAAAACAGGCTATGGTTCAGATAATGTAGCCGTAACACCCATCCAATTTATATTCCGTTACAGCATGTGTCCGGTAAACAAACTACTTATGTGGAACTTACTGATTTTGACAAAATGAGAGAACGAGCTGACAACAATAACTTCTTTCTGTACATTAAAATCCCGGAGGTTCCATTCGTAGTATCTTATAAGGTTAATATAATTTCGTTTTAATTTCAGCAATTGCATGTTCCGTAAGTGTTTATCAAATATTAGAATTATTTGTGGTAAAAAAAAGGACGCGTGCAGCTTATTGGTTAGAGGTACCCTGAAAAACACACACTGTCGTCGGTTCGATCTCGTCCCTGGGCTCAGTAAGTCTTCAATTCCTATGTGGTCAGCTAATTTTTACCAGACTTCTCCGGAAAGAGTTCACTTCTGCAATCCAAGTGAGAGCGCTCTAATCCAGCTATCTCAAAACGTTAAGGAGGTTCGACCCGACCAGCATTCAAGGACATTCGTAAAGAAGACATTTTCAAGCAGCAGTCGAACTTACATGCGAAAAATTCGAAAACCTTCGTGGATGATGAACACAGGGAAACGAGTCAAATGCAAAAAGTGATAGAGTCTGCTTAGATGTTAAGACGAGCCATTTAGAAAGAAAAATGGATATAAGGATATGCGGGTAATGCAGTAGTACTGATTGCTGCCTAATACACACAAAACCGTGGTTCGAAACATCGCTCCAAGCCAGCAAAGACTCCCTTCTGGGACTAAGGAAGGGGTGCCAGATTAGTCTGGTAAACTCCCTCCAAAACCTAAGAATGCCTTAGCGTTGCAATGTAATAAAACTATAGGAGAACAAACAGGCATTTAGCGACGTTCGTAATGAGGACTAAAAGTTCTTAAACAGATGGCCGAACCACACCCAAATCTGAAGAGCTTCGTGGAAGATGGATGTGAAGAAACGAATGCAAAAAGTGCTGGAAACTGCGTAGTATCGATATAGGGTCACCTAAAACTAACAACGGAAACAGGAATGAATTATATATATATATATATATATATATATATATACAACAATTTTGACATTCATAAGGCTTAAGCTCAAAGCTCTCGGTGTTGATCAATCCATGAGGGATGCGCTATGCATTCGACTTCACTAAGCATCGTTAGAGGTGATTCAATGTATATCTGAACTATATAGTGTTTAATCAATATGTATTCTTTCTTGATAAGCTTGCACGAGGTTGATAAATATATTTATTTTCGGCTAACGTTTCGACGTCTTCGTCTTCCTCAGAGCCGGTGATCCGAGTCGATGGTCCATGCTTGTTGTTCGCCCCGACGTTGCGTCTTCGCCTTCCTGTCGAGCCAGATCTTCCTCAGCGAGCCAACTTCTCGAATGAGGCATCCTCACTCAGTGATGCCCTTTTATACACGATGCTGATGGTGGATATATAATGACAATGTCCGGTGGTAACAACTTGTATTTCTTCCGGACATACATCATTGCGCACATCGTGCAGAGGTCGAAATATATAGTGTTTCTTCGTGGCGTATCGACATATCAATCCAGCGCTGCTATCCTTTCAGACAAGTTTGGTATTAGTATGGAGGGATGGAAGGGTTAGTGAGCCTGGAGCACGGGGATCTACTCCATGTATATTGTGTGCATGGTACCTTCGACCACCGCGCTACACCCGTCCTTTGACATCCATAGAGCGGAAAATGACTAGCTTCACATAGAGTTGAAATGTCAACTACGGTACGAACTTGTTGTAAACAGTTAAGTCAGTTAAGCTTAGGGTAGCAAAGACAAGAACATTGAAGACGTCGATCGATTCAGTTTCCTGTTTCCTTTATGTGAATTTCACGAAAGGAACTGGACATGGCTTGATGTTGCACTTGCAGTTAAGCAACGTTGTAAGCGTGTACTGCTACAACAGGTAGAGGTAACTTGCTAGTGTAGATATCCAAACAGCTCTGTGAGTTCAAATAGCTTCATTCCAGTTTATGAGACAAAAACTGTTGCGAAATCGTTTGACGGGCGGACCGGAAACGGTAGAAGGCATCAGTGAGGAAGATAAAAAAAGGATTGCTCTAGGTTCTCTCCAGGTAAGCAGTAGACTCCCAGTTGTATTTTTCTAACGTACGTCTGACCTGTGTGTATACACATCTACTTCACTGTATTTTCTAGACGTCTACAACCGCGAAGAAAAAGAGTAGAGGATCCGGTACCATTCCATCGTAGGTAAATAGTCGTAGTATCACTTGTGTGTTGTATCATACTGGTTTTTAGGTTGTGTTGTGAGGTACAATGTGGAAATACCAGTTACTAGCATTTTGCATAATTACACATTTTGTGTAATTACATCGTCAAATTACTAGTGCTCAGACTGCATTTACTCATTTTCGCATAATAAAGAACCTCCATTGGCACATTTTCGCAGAAAAACTTCTCCCTGATCAGTCAGTTGCTATAACTCTTTAGAATACTACAAACTGCATTCGTCTAGCAGTCGTCGGAGGTGCCTGCAATACACGTGAGATCTATCTGCTCTCCGTAGGCTCACGAAACCACCCGTCCCTCTTGGGTCGGCAAATTGGTACCAGACTGGTCTGGAAGGAGACAGCACTGACTGGATATATCAGTCTGCCACCGCGTGTCATGTAAGGGCCAGATATGCATTCAGTCACCTCCGACGATACTTATTGAAGTCGAATGCATGGCCTTAGGGATGTATCAACGCCGAGAGCTTTATCCTTTTATCCTATTATCCTTTTACGCTCGTATATGATTTGGCCATTGTCGTTGTAGACAACCTATAGTGTCATCCAAGAAAAGTCAACATACTTTTTATTCATACCTTTTGTAGTATATAGCACAGCTTCACAATCGCGTATACTGTATCCTGCATTGTCCGAGACGTTGTTTCTCCACATATTGATTTCTGCAAGAAACACGTATTGAGACCAGTTTCTATGAGAGGTGGCTTTCGTTATCATAATACGTGTGCCAAATATCATGGCTGAAATTGAGTACTGTACTGAAATGTTCCTGCTTACGGTGCATTCCTGAGCGTTTCATTGAGCTGTATCCACTAGGCGTGGTAAAATTTACGCGAAGTTCCACAGTGCAAGCATCAAAACTAGTTATGGCGGATGTGTTAAAACTAACCATGAATCGGATTGGGTATCCAGCTACCTTTGGTAAGTAATGTAGTAGCATTACCATACTATTTCTGTGGCTCTGGTGATCTGGTTTCTTTTATAGAGTGACGGATATAATTACCTGACGGTTATAATCTGTCACCGGAATAGCCTCATCAGTACCATGCCTATGATGACTTATGAACAAATTTAACTATTATCATTCAGCCACAAGGATTTTCAGATATGAGCAAAACGCGGATTCTCAGCTTGGCTTCTAGTTTCTGATTACCGTTACTGGAGGCTTATGTGCTATCCACCACACCAATCGAGGCCTTTCCTTGCGTTCCTCTCAGCCATGTTTATCTCCCAGTTCTGGTTATATCTCTAGATCGTTGTGGTTGTATTTCACATACCCTGACCATGAAGAAAGGATGCACAGTGAATGAGAGTTACTTGGATAATTAGATGGCCCGTTTTCGTTGATTGCGCCCACGATTTTGGGCCCAAGCAAAATTTCCGCTTTTTCGGAGTTTTGCTGGTTTAGCCATTGTGGTTCCTTGGAGTCCCGAGGTCAGCCTAGTCAAAGTCTGCACCAGGTCGTCACCACCAGAGGCAGTCGCCGCCCTTGTGGATCAGAGGGAGATTTGTCACCATGAGGCTGGTTTGATACTAGGACGGTGGTGGATCCTGGTTTTGATTTACTCCTAGCTGCGCTTCCTGTTCGAAACACCGGACTCCTTTTCAGTTTGAGAGGCCCTTCCGGCTGGAGTATTTCCCTTGCTAAACATCACAGCCCGACACCTAGGAACACCCAGCAGCCACCATGAGGTGGTAATCTGTTGGAACGAATGGAATTTAAGGTATTGTTATTCAATGAATGTATCATTTTTGGAAAGGAACCTCAAACCATGTGTTACTGGAGAGACTTCCCATCATAAACTTCTCATCATATTTTAACCAATTAGACGACCCATCCTCGCACATGGCGTGGCTCTCAGCACTTCTTCCATTCGTTTGTTTGCCTTGCAACAGCTAACCACATAGGCGATGAGGTCAGAGAGTGCAACCAGTTGTAACCTAGATCGGTAAACTTCTTCTCGTTGACATTCTCGAAGCTCACCGAGCGTAATTTCCCATGGGAACAAGATATAGTCCTTCTAAGTTCTTGGATCGTCACCGCAAACAGTTACCGGCTCTTCTAAGTAGGGCGGAATTCCCTGGCTTACGAATCGAATTCTTCCAGGAAGACAACTGTTACTCTGACCGTACGAAATCCTCCTACTTGTTAACAAACTGTTCGAGGCGACTTGGAAGACGGAATCTATAATCGAACAGTTGGTACTTAGATATCAAAATGGTCGGTCGGTCCCCAGATGGCTCACAGATCCCCGCATTTATTCCATTCGTATTCTTACAGCCTTCACTGGACCTCACCAGATTTGTATGTGGATTCTGTTCTAATATATGATCTGTCTTCTCTTCCTATTGACATAGTGGGTGCAGATTGGCAACGGTTTTCGCTAGGAATCGCGAAATATCATTGCTAGAGCGTCCACGAATCGTCAGGACAAGAATTTGCTGGCGGCGTGGATCGGAGATTTTCCTTCCGGTGATTAGGACTCTATAATTGAGGTGGTCAACTTATAATCCCGTATGAACATTATTGTGTCCTCAGTGGTTTGAACCAAACGACCGTATGGACATCATAGTGTCCATGTTCACCTTAGTGTATCCCAGGACTTTTTTTCACCGTACAGAATGTACTCATTCGGCATACTATATAGCTAACCGAAAGTATATCAAAATGGAGTAATACCAGAAAGCCATCTACGCTTAGTGATTTACAAAGAACCCTCTCTCGAAAAAGTTCAGTGACCGATGATCTGACTAACTATTAACTATTATTCCATAGTATCAAAACCTCTAAAGAATTCTAATTATCGAAAGTGTTTTTGTTGTCAAAAAAGAAAACCGGGAAGCCCGCATTCAACAAAAAATTGAACGTATTTGACTGGGTCAGCCATGGAAAACGGTGCCAGGACACAATGTGTTAATACGATCAGTAAAACGCCAGAGTAAAAGATAACAGTCTAAATCGATGCACAAATGAGAATCCACCGGTATAATCATGGACATAGAAATAAGGCTAAAGTCGAGCTTGAGCTAAAAAGTTAAGCTGAGCTAAAACTAACCGACTACAGAGAAAAGTACCAAGTAATCAAGTTACTGCAGTATTACCTGCTTATTGATATCTGTGCGTTACAACAGGAAACCATATTATTATGCAACATTACAATATAACTTTATACACGTAAATTCTACTCGTCATCTGAGTCCACCGGTTCTTCCTTCTTCGTGTACCCTGGTTTGGATTGACGACGCTCTTCTAAGGCTAAACTCAGTGTTGCCCAGTCTTCTGTTCTAGCCTGGAAATACGGCATATCATAAGAAGGATAGAAGACAAGGCTCTTGGCGTTGATCAACCCATGAGGAATGTGGTATGCATTCGACTTCACTAAGCATCGTTAGAGGTCACTGAATGAATATCTAGCCTTTACATTGACTCGCAGTGGCCTACCAATGTCACACCAGTACTGCTATCCTCCCAGACGTCTGCTACCAATTTGCCGACCCTGGAGGGATGGAAGGCTTGGTGAGTCTTGGGCGCGGGGATCGAGCCCATGTTCATTGCAGGGCACCTCCGACCACTGCTCTACACGCGCCGTAGTACTTCAAAATGCGCATTTTATTAACAGGTAGCTTTCCTGACAATGAGTTTTGCATACCTGGATTGCAGTATGCTCTTCTTGTGTTAAAGGCTTTCCGGAACTGTTAACGATATCAACGATATCATTCAATCTGTAACAACGAGATCAATATCTCCATACACACGACAGCAAACATTGCTGTGGCAAAGATCGATAGAAATAGCTGAGAGATAGGCCAAATGAATGACCCGCATGGTGTGGTGGTGAACGCGTTACTCCCCGGAAAAGACAATAGTACGTTCGTTCCGCACCGCATACACCTGCGCTCCGGAGTTTTGCAAAATATCTCAGCATAATTGAATTGATATTTCTACTTAATATTTGATATTTAATTGATATTTCGCAATATACCATGCCATTAAAAAAGAGTAGGCAGTAAATAATACGTTAAAAATTCTGATTATAACTACAGCCTCAGCTTAACTGGGTTCGTCGCCCATTTGGGCCCCCAGATCAATTCCGTTGATGAATGATTGCGGTGGCAAAGATCGATAGAACTAGCTGAGAGACAGGCGAAACGAAGGACACGCATGGTGTGGTGGTGAACGCGTTATTGCCCGGAAAGGACAATAGCGCATTCGTTCCCCACCGCATACACCTGTGGTTTGGGGTTTTGCAAAATATCTCAGAATCATTGAAGTTATATTTCTATGAACTATGACGAAGAATAAGTCGAAGCGATCTATACGGACTTGGAGAAGTTCTACAGAGAAGACCATACATTCATCATTGGGGATTTCAACGCCAAAACTGGACCAAGAAGAACGTCTGAAGGTCGTCAAATTGGGATTTACGGATTAGAATGGAACGATCAGGGTGAGCGGCTGTCTGAGTTTATCATGGCAACCAAGACAATCTATGGTAACTAGCAATTCCATAAGCCCCACCATCAGTGCTGGACGTGGGAGTCCCTCATTGGAGAGTACCATAACGAAACATACCACATCATTGTAAATAGAACGCTTTGCCTAACCGATGTCGCTGTTGACCCAAAATTCTACACGGGATCAGACCATTTTCTCCTTCGTGCAAGATTCTATTTCTCGCGGAAGGGAGGAAAAGCCGCTAAATTCCAAAACCGAAGTCCCAGAACCACCGTAAATTGGGATTTATTCAATTCATTAGTCGGCTGTTGGGAAGATGCCGTTGTCGATAACATCGACGAAGAATACGATCGGCTCATTCAACATCTTCACGTTAGCGCTATTAAAGCTGAGAGTTCGAAAGTCACCAAGACACGTTTGTCTCCAGAAACACTCGAGCTGATACGCCAATGGAATCGAACGAGCTGCAGGCAACGGCGAACTAAAATCCGAACTTGCAACACAATGCAGACAGGCGATAAAGGAGGATCTTAAAGAAAGAAGAGCATCAATAATGGTCAGAGCTGCAGAGGATGGGAAAAACATTCGCAAAGCCCACCGAAGTTTCGCCAATTAGAAGACCAAGGTGATTGCACTCCGATGCCCAGTTGGAACAGTTACAGCGTGCAGAAAGGCAATGGAGAAAATCGTTCACGAATGCTACTCGGATCTCTTCGATAGCCACGTCCACCTTCCATCATATGAAATAAAGGAGGATAGATATGTTGTACCACCGGTTCTCCCTTCCGAAATCCGACATATCATTTCATCGGTGAAAAATGGAACAGCACCAGGTCCGGACAGGATAAGAGCAGAACACCTGAAGAACCTTCCGCTAGTCCTCGTAAACACACTGGCTCGGCTCTTCACACGTTACCTGTCCGCATGCAAAGTCCCTGCTCAGTGGAAGACTAGCAAAACCGTGTTATTGTTCAAGAAGAGTGACCTGCACGATATCGGCAACTATCGCCCAATCTGTTTGCTGTCTGTCGTCTGCAAACTTTTCACTCGAGTCATCCTAAACAGGATTGACAGAACACTAGACGAAGGACAGCCATAAGAGCAAGCAGAGTTTCGAAAAGGATTTAGTACGACGGACCATATCCACACGGTAACACAGCTCACTGAAGTATCGCGAGGGTAGAAAAGACCGCTCCGTGTCACCTTCATCGATTTACAGAAGGCCTTTGAGTCAATTGAGATAGAAGCAGTCATGGAAGCCCTTCATGGTCAAGGAGTCCGTACTCAGTACATGAAGATTTTTCGTGAGCTGTACAAAAATTTTACAACCAACGTACCACCATTCTATAACAATATTAACATTAACGTCAAAAGAGGAGATAGGCAAGGCGATACCATCTCGCCAAAATTATTTACCGCCACGCTCCAAAACGTCATGCGAACATTGGAATGGGATAATATGGGAGTGAAAATCGACAGTCGGCAGTTATATCATCTTGGTTTTGCTGACGACATCGTCCTTTTAACACTAAACATTAGCCAACCGGAACGTATGCTTGACGACTTTGATAAAGCCTGTGGAAAGATTGGTCTTCGATTAAATCTCACAAAAACGATTTTCATGAAGAACGGATTGGTTTCGTATGCCCCATTCACGCTCAACGGAACGAATATCTCCGAATGCTCCAGTTATGTCGCAGTTGTCTGCGGTGGGGAACCAACGCGCTATTTCCCTCTCCGGGCGATAACGCGTTCACCACCGCACTCAACGCAACGAATATCTCTGAAAGCTCCAACTATGTCTATCTAGGTCGGGAAATCAACATGTTGAACGACTTAGCTCCAGAGTTGAGCAGACGGAAACGAGCGGCTTGGGAAGCTTTCAAGGCCATTAAGGATGTAGTGAAGAGAACAAAGAACACCCGACTCCGTGCCCACCTTTTCGACTCAACAGTACTTTGTGCCCTAACGTATGCGTCAGAAACCTGGTCGCTGCGTAAGCAGGATGAAAAGTCACTCAGCATTATCGAACGCGTAGTCGAAATGACGATGCAAGAAGAATCCCGTTCCACACAAGTAAGGGATGAGATCCGAAACACCGATCTGCGTCAACGATCAAAAATCAAAGATACCGTTCTGTACGCGAAACAGTCGAAGATAAGGTGGGCTGGGCACGTAATGCGTATTAATGGAAACAGATAGATAAGAGCCGTTAGTGAATGGATTCCTCGGGATGTCAACCGTACTGCAGGAAGACCACCGACCCGATGGTCAGAGTTCTTCACAAAGAGCCTTGAAGAAAGATATGATACTCGACGAGTCCCTAGAGAGCGAGCAGAACCCACTGGGCTACTCTTGCACGCGACAGGGAAAAATGGAAGATTTACTGCCGCCCGTTCGAGTCACTCGACGACCAACGGGACTACAGCTGATACTGTGCCATTAAAAAAGAGTAAGCAGTAAATAATAAGTGAAAGGCAGTAAACAGTTCAATATTTAGTCAGGACCCTTCAAATGCACAATAGAAAAACATTAAAACTGTCCAGTTTTACAACGATGCTGAAATAGCGAGGCCTCAGTTTAACTGGGTTCAATGCCGATATTGGCTCCCCAGATCAATCCCGTTGACGGGTGATTGCTGATGGCAAAAAGATCGATAGAACTACCTGAGATACATGCAAGGCGAAGGACCCGGATGGTGTAGTGGTGAAGTGCGCTGCTCCCCGGTAAGGACAACAGCGCGTGTTCGTTCCCCACTGCATACACCTGTGGTCCGGAGCTTTGCAAATATGTCAGCACTTCATATGAGTTATATTTCACAACATACCCTGCCATTAAGAAGAAAAAGGCAGTAAATAAAAGAGTTAAGATGCTGAAATATTTGAAAAACTCCTAACCGCAGGTGTCTGCGGTGAGGATCAAACATGCTATTAGCTTTTCGAGGGGCTAATACGTTCATAAGCATACCATACGGGACGTTCGTTTCGCTTGTCTCTCAGCTAGTTTTCTATCTACTAGTGCCATAAGCAATAAAGGGAAACAAGAACAAGGAAGAGAGAAAATTGGAACGAATGACCCGCATGGTGCGGTGGTGTACGCACTAGTCACCGAAAAGAGTAACAAGATGTTCGATCCCCACCGCAAATACCTGAGGTCCAGAGTTGTGCAAATATCTCGAGATCATTGTGGTTGTATTCCATATAATACCCTGTCGTGTAAAATTGTAGTAGGCAGTAAATTTAAACATGTTAACATTGTGATTTCGACTGTCTAGTTTTATCTATTTTTTTTTATTATTATTTCCATCACTTATCTAAATGTGAATAATTTCTAGACCATAGAAGTTTCAGGGGTAACAACCTACTAGTACTTGCCTGATGAGTAGCTTATCAATGATTTGTAAGGCATCCCCATGCGTACCTTTCCAATCATCTTCAATACCCATTAGTTTTTGAAGAAATTCCGTAAGAACATCGGGAGATTTGTCTGAAATGGCTAAAGAAATTGAAGAAATACACTCATGTAAAGCAGAAATGATAGAGTTGTATAGAATCACCATAAAAACTCCAATACCTAAAGAATCTAAACCATATTTCAAAGCAGCTAGCGCTATCTGAGAAGGTGGATACATAAGCATAATGTCCGACAGAAGTGCTTTCTGAACATAACATTTCTGAGCTGTCTAGAAAAATGATGATCAGAATATGCATCGAAATCAACACGTGATTTCTCGGTGCACCACAATACTTATAACTACCCTAAAAAACTGATCTGCAGGCTCGCGAATTGTCTCCACGTTGAAATTAAGAAGTAGCATTCTTGTTTTCATTTCCACCAAGTGCCCTTCAAAAGGCCTAAATTTTTCGCGGTAACGGCAAAATCTGCAACAGTCGTTCTCCATTAGAGAAAACAATTCGAAACTAACCGAAAAGGACAATGTATTGTTATATGGTAACGAAGAGCGCGCATAATTTCAGGCTCCAAACCTAAAATCCGGGTCGTGTTCTGTTCCGGAGTTCCAGATCTTTAAAGAAAGAGATTATAGACAAATGAGGCATCAAGTCTCGGATGCTTGCTTTTGCAATGTTACAGTTTGAGGTGGTTTTTTTTTCTTCTAGGAAAAGAAGTTTTCATCTGTGAAAATCCTACACATTGCTTGAAAGCGAAAACTTCGTCTCACTTCTGCAATATCGGTTTCAGGATTTTGTGCTATACTTTGATTAGAACAGGGAAGAAAAATTTAGCCACCTTTCTTATAAACCGGTCACAAATATTCACAATCAACAGACAGTCAAAAATTATTCCAATTAATCTACCTCAGACTGCTAACAGTTTACCGCCTCATCGTGACAGGGAGGTTTCCAAATGTCAGGTTGCGATACACAGTGGAGGGATTCATCTCCCCAACAGGGCTTTCCAAAACAACAAGGAGTCTGGCTTTTCCATAAGGAAGCCCAGCTAAGAGTAAACCAGTACCACGATCTACCACCGTCCCGCTATCAAACTAGTCGCATGGTGGCAAAACTCCCTCTGATCCACTAAGACTGCGACTGCCTGTCGTGGTGAAGACCTGGGGCAGACTTTGGTTCGGTTGACCTTGGAACCCCAAGGAACCCCAATGGCTAAACAATGGAACAAACCAGCAAAACGAAACAGTGGAAACCACGCTGGGATCCGCACAACCAGTGAAGACGACCCATCTAAGTAAGTACTTTACTTGGATACTTGGACGGTCCGTCTTCAGGAGCTGTGCGGACCCCAGCACATATGCCATTCGTTTCTTTCTCTCGCAGTCGTAGTCCACGGTGGTGATCTTGTTCGAGCATGATAGCGCTTGCAGGTCTCATACCGTGATCTGTAAAACAACTGCAGCTGTCGGTATAGCTGATTAACTTTGTTTGCGAACACGTCCGCCCAACGTGTAGGTGGTCGTCCAAGGGGACGTTTGCATTCTCTTGGAGTCCACTCTACAGATCTTTTCGTCCATCTGCCGTCTGTTCTTCTCGTTATGTGATCGACCCATCTATGTTTTGCTATCGATGTATATTCTCCTGGTTTACAAAAATGAGACAGATTTCGAAGGTCATAGCTTCGTATTCCGGCTACATATTGAGAGTGCCGGTTATATTTCAGAAGACATCGCTCAAGCGCTCTGTGAGTAGTTCGAAGCATTCTTAACGTAGTGGAGATATCAACCCACATCTCTGCAGCATAACAGAGCGCTGGGAGGCCCGCAGAATCAAAGATATGAGCGCGGATTTCCGGATCCCTCAGTTGGTCGGTGGCTTCTTTGAGAGGCCCGAATGCGGCCCAAGCTGCTCTCCTTCTTCTATCTCGTTCATGTTGTTTTCCATGTTTATTGATGACCCAAGGTAAACATATGAGGTGGTCTCTGCAGGCAGAGAGCAGTCTAGTTTATTTTTTTCGCTTTCGCACCATCGGTTTTCATGAACTGGGTCTTCTTCAGATTTATGCGAAGTCCGATCTTTTTCTCCGCTTCGTTGAGCTCGTCGATCATCTAAGTAAGTAAGGAAGTAATGTACCTCATTCAGAGATTTAAGGTGTCCGTGTAGATGAAAGGTTTAAACTTGCCACAGGTCAATAAGAGAGCATTGACTGATTCCTGCTTTTATTGACAAAGTTGTACTCGAAAAAGTGGGGACATCTTAGCCCTTCATTTAAAATAGAATATTTCACGCTGAAAAGCTTTACCAGCACACCTTAGATTCGCCACAAATTCGTCAATGGTGACGTAAAACTCTTCGACTTTCATGGCAAGATAGAAACACGCCATCATCACAATCTGCAATGCTATCCTGAATTACGGGACATAGACAAACTGTACGATGCTTTCCACTTCTGCTCAGCAAACACGAGGTGCTATTCCACTTCCACACTCACGTAAAAGCTGACGTTTCGGCGGATTTCGCCTTCCTCAGAGCCTGGAAAGGTCACGTTGACAGCAACCTATTCGGCCAAACACCTTCATAACCAAACAGAGAAAACGCTAAACCAAGATTTCAATCACATTGAACACAGCTCCGCACACTCAACGCGTTCTATGAGTCTTCCACTGAGCATGTCGTGTGAAGACCAACCGCACAGAATTTACATGGAAGCGTATTGTGTCCCTCCCATCAGAACAACAGGTTTATATACTGCCGACTGTATGACGGTCTATGTGCAACGCAAAATTGCATAATTTGCCCCAATGGTAAAGACGGTGATTGCATGAACTCGAGTATAGTTTATCCGATCTCCTGTAAGGCGTGCGGGGACGAATAGATTGGCGAAACGAGCAGACCCCTCTATGTACGCATAAAAGAACACCTAACCGGAAAACATAAACCAAATACCCCGCTAGGCACGCATAGGACCCAAAGACATAACGGGGACGACTTTGAAGTACAAGTCACGATCCTCGCGCAGGAATCAAGAACACAAGCGCGCAAAACTATCGAGGCATTCTGGATTAATTCCAAGAATCCGAAAATGAACCGCAGGGAAGAATGGCTCATTATCACGCGTGATATAGGGCAGTATATAAACCTGTTATTCTGATGGGTGGGGCACAAAACACTTCCATGTGAATTCTGTGCGGTTGGTCTTCACACGACATACTCAGTAGAAGACTCATAGAAAGCGGTGAGTGTGCGGAGCTGTGTTCAATGTGATTGAAATCTTGGTTTAGCGTTTTTCTGTTTGGTTATAAAGGTGTTTGGCCGAATAGGTTGCTGTCATCGTGACCTTTCCAGGCTCTGAGGAAGGCGAAATCTGCCGAAATGTCAGCTTTTACGTGAGTAGAGAAGTGGAATAGCACCTTGTGTTTGCTGAGCAGAAGTGGAAAGAATTGTTCAATCATTGCCGAGGTTAATAGAAAGTCGGACGTGAAAGTGGACGATAGTTACCTTTGGACTGGCTTCCATAACTGACCATCCTAGAAAGAGGCGTTTGAAGTATGCGTATGCAGTCCACCGAACTGAAGGCCACATGCTCGGTTGGAAGGTGTCGGAGAATCTGATATTATAGTCATCCAGAAAAAGGGGAATAAGTCGAAGCTGTGAAATCAGAGCTATTGATTCGGTTCCGAGCAATCGCAATCTACAGTTTTTAAGACGACAAAACAATGAAAAACTCTAATTTAGCATGGTTAGGACACAACAAAAAAAATATACTGGTCAAGTTGCTTCTCCTAACTGTGCTGGATCGCAAGGCTACAGTGTTACCAGTTCGACTGTAGGAATGAACTGTTTCCAGACATGGATAGTATAAGCTTCCCGATCCCAGTGGGCGGGTACCGCAGTGGTTATGGTGCCGGTTCGACGACGTCCGGGTTCAGCAAGCCTCTCACCCCCAGGAATCGGGAAAGAGGATATAGTTACGTTAGCATAGAAATACTGATGGTGGAAATCAGACGTACGTAAGGACTATGGACAAGAAATATAGAGGAAAAAAATTAAGGTGATACCTGATCGCAGCGCACTCTACCACATTTAACATTTGGGCCTCTTCCTCGACCGTCAGGAGAATCTCTTCTTCTCCAGGCTGTAGCAAATCCGCCTGCTTATAGCGGAAAGCCTCATTAGCCTGAGAATACAAAATACAACAACTAAAACATCTACACCTGAAGAACTAACTAGTCAGATCTTGCATAGATTAGAAATAAAACACGAATTACTTTCGAATGAGAAAACATCAAACCTACAAGTCTACGCTTTTCGGCCAGCTCATCCTTTGTGAACGTCCACTCCTTCTTCTGAGTGCTCGTGGAATACATCCAGGACAAAAACCACACAAGGATGAATAAAAATTAGAACTCAAACCACTTCAGTTTTCGGCGCAATTGCCGCAATTACGATCAATGGTTTTTGCTACAGTAGTAAGCGATCACAGCCAGATGATTTATTCCGAAGATTTAGCATCTGTATTCTCTTATTAATTCCTCTGTGCGGATAGGAATAGTAGTAGTAGTAGCTAAATTAGCTAAAAGATGTACTCTTCATTTTCGGCCGTCAATTAACTTAACGAGCTCTTTAAGTAACCTACTAATTCCTTATACTCTCGTTGAGCAAATGCGAGATGTTATTTTATTCTTTCTTGCGACTAAGGTGACATTTGGGCTGCTTTAGCCTTCCTCAGAGCCTGGAAGGGTCAGATTGACTACAAGAAACTGGTGGAGTTCAATTGGGTAGATTGCTGTTAACTTGACCTTTCCAGGCTCTGGGGAAGTCGAGATCTGCTGAAACGTCGGATTCAACGTCATAAAGAATGAAGTAAAAACCTCGTGTTTGCTCAACAAGAATATGAAGAGTTATTTAATCAATGCCGCTGTTAAAAAAAGTCGGTCATAGGGCATATCACTATTTTCCAATTGTACTCCGTTCCGCTAACGTAACTAGGTGCGTATGTCCTTAGTAAGTTCTTAGTTCTCTACCCCTTCTTAAACGATTCTTCTCAGTTCTCTAGCCCTTCTTACCGTCACAAAACCCCAGTTTGAAGAAGAATTAGCGAAGTCACGTTTTCTTAAATCTTCCTTTTTCTTAAGTGAGACAAAAGCACCTCATTTCATTGGCCATTTATGTTGAGGTTAAATGACGGTCGGTATGAAAAATAAAGGAGTTGTGGTTATTCTGGGCATCTTCTGGAGGAACCGTCATATGCTTTTGACTCTTCATTCATAGGTACCAGTTACACTACTCGTCCTTCTAAATTGGTTCTCGAGGCACTTCATTACAGGTTGTGCGGAGCCCAGCATAGTTTCCACTTTTCGGGAGTTTTGCTGGTCTGGCCATTGTGGTTCCATGGGTCCCGAGATCAGCTTAGCCAAATCTTGCTCCAGGTCGTCACCACCACAAGCAATGGCCGCCCTTGTGGATCGGAGGGAGATTTGCCACCATGCGACTAGTTTCTTACCAGAACGGTGGTGGATCCCGGTATTGGTTTACTCTTAGGTCGGCTTCCTGACGGAAACGCCGGACTCCTCAGCATAGGAGATCCTACTGGAAGGATGAGCCCACTGCTGTACGTCGCACCCCGACAACCAGGAACCCCTCCCAGCTACGATGAGGAAGTAAACCGTTAGGAGGGGCATTCCTGTTGTCTTAACCTCTTTTTTAATTGTTATGGAGCGTTCATGTGAAGAACGTTGGTTCTTTCTCAGGTTTTTATGGATCCCTTGCGATATTAAACATAAGGCTTCCTAGTTATTGGTTGGGCGACGCTGTTCACTACATTTAGCTCATTTTATTACAGCGATTGAATACAAAGTTACGTTCGTGCTGTTCCTTTCGTCAATGAGATTCGGTCATTTTATGCTCATATTATCATTATTACTTTACTTTTTGCTATGCTTACTTACTTGATACTTGAACGACTCGTCCTCACTAGTTGTGCGAAGTTCAACATAATTTCCAACATTTCGGAGTTCTGCTGGTTTAGCCATTGTGGTTCCTTGAAGTGCTGAGGTTAGCCTGGCCAAAGTCTGCCCCAGGTCTTCACCACGGGCAGTCGCAGCCCTTGTGGATCAGAAGGAGATTTGTCACCATGCGACTTTGATACCAGGACGGTGGTGGGTCCTGGTATTGGTTTACTCTTAGCTAGGCTTCCTGATGTAAACGCCGGACTCCTCGGCTTGGGAGACACTGCTGGGTGATGAATCCCACGCTTTACATCGCAGTCCGACACCCAGAACACCTTCCAGCCACGATGAGACGGTAAACCGTTGGGAGGACTTTTTACTATTGCTGTGCTATATTACTATTTATTACTATTACTCATTATTGAAGATCATATTGGACTGGATTACATCGGAAAGCCATCCTTACCGAATTTTAGTTACCAAAAATGTTTCTAGAACCGAGTTCCCTAAAATCTCGTTATGATAAATCAATACGTATTTTCGAACAGCTGAATTAACATGAGGTTGAAGAGGAAACATTTGTTCGCCTGATGTTCCAGCCACTTCGCCTTCTTCAGGGCCGGATTGATCTGAGTCGATGGTCCACAGTGGTTCCTTCGTCTGTTGCGGGTCTTCGTGTTCAAATCGAACCCAATCTAGTGGATGGAGCACCTCGATGGACCTCACTTGTCACTGCTCGTTTATACAAGACGGTTGTTGCTGATGACGATTGACCGTTGATAATCGTCCGTGTTTCTTTGGATAGTTCATCCTTCACAAGTCGGTACCATTATCTGCTGGTACAGAGCGTAACGTCGCGCGTGCGGCACAGTGGTCGGAGGCGCCATGCAATGCATACGGGATCGATCTCCGCGCGCGCCCAAGGCTTTACCACGCCCTCCACCCCGCTGGATCGGCAAATTAGTACCGCACTTGTCTGGGTGGATAGTGCACAAGCTCGATACACCCATCGGTAGATCACCGCGATTAATTGTAAAGGCCAGATATGCATTCAGTTACCTCCAACGTTGCTTAGTGAAGTCGAATGCATGGCGCATTCTTCAGGGATTGTTCAACACCGAGAGCTTTATCTTTTATTCTTTTACGGAGCGTAACAAAACTTCAAAAGGCGAGGTTAAAGGAGAGTCGGTTCGGTCAGAAGATAAGAAAGAACTGAAGAGAACATCTTTACAGCAGTGATTCGATTCGATCTTCTATCTTTCACTTCTAGTAGTGAAAATCCCGCTTTTCAGCTATGTATTAAAAAGGTAAGACAGAAGATGTTTACAAACCCGAGTTTCCTTTAACCTCGGTATGGCTAATCAATATGTATCCTTTGATCGAGAAGTAAACGCAAGGTTGATAAAAACACTTTTCTATTAATCTTGTGTTCGCTTATCAAGTAAGGAATACATGCTAGTGAAGTGTTTTATGCCCTTGATGGTTCACAGAATTTGTAGCGCACCAATGCTCCTTGGGTTTCGGATCTCGGATAACGCGAAGGAAGAGTTTCTTTGCCTTATTTCTTTGAGCTCTTTGCAAACGATATTCATATTAGGTTTCGCTACCAGTTTCCAGTAAAATCATTGATACGGTGAAGTGTGTAATTGATTTCATTGCGTAAAGGCAGCATGATGTCTTCATGTTTTATTCATTCTTTCATTTTTCAACCAATGGCGAAGTCGGACGTGTAAGTTGACGTGGACACCTTCGGCTGGGCTGTGGAGTTATAAATAGACCATAGAGAGGTTTTTTTTATGGTTTATCGTCTTCTTTCTCATCTATGATATCCCTTGCAACTTACCGTCAGCACTTTCTAACTTATCCTTTAAATTTATCTCGCACAAATGACAAGTGTAAACTGATCGTAGATGTTGAATAGTTTCCAATAGCATACGGGCTTAAGCGTAACATTTCATTCCAATCATCTAGAAGTAGCTTTCTGTACTGCTTGCTCTTAGGGCGCGTGTAGCGCAGCGGTCGGAGCCGCGCTGCGATACCCATGGGACAGATCCAGCGCCGCATGCCCACCAAGTCCTCCATCCTTTCGGGGTCCGCAAATTGGTACCGGGCTTGTCTGGGAGGATAGCAGCACTGGTTCGATACATCGATAGGGCACCGCGAGTCGTTTCAAAGGCCAGACATGCATTCAGTCACCTCCAAAGATGATTAATGAAGTCGAATGCATGGCGCATCCCTCAGGGATTGATCAACGCCGAGAGCTTTATCCTTCATCGTCTATGCTTGTTCATAAAGTTGCAGCTGCTTGTGGAAGAGCTTAGATTTAGGTATGTGTTGCCATACTTACTGGCCAGCTTAGCTGTATTGCAGTATAGCAAGAGGAACTACTAAAACACCATAGTGGCTTGTTGTTATTCAGTAATTATTAGACAAGTTTTATAGTGATGTACTCTTTCAATGTGATAACATTCTCCTACTTCCCTTCGTCGTTACTTCGTGAGAGAATAATCGCCGAAATCCCTTCGCTTTTGTGATGAGCAGTATCGTCTTCGCCGCTAATGTAAGCAGGAAGTCCAGCAGTTTGGATCTGAAAGCTCCTGTATTACATGCTTGTGCATTTTGCTTTCATTATCCAGTCGAAAATGAAGATAAAGTGCTAGGCATAACTTCTAATCAGCTGGTAACTTTATATCAGTTTTGAGCCGTGCGTAATAAGACACTGCAAAAGGTTTACAGCCTCTTTGTGGCTGGGAGGTGTTCCTGGATGTCGAGCTGTGATGTACAGCGGGGGATTCATCTCCTTGGCAAGGTCTTCCAACCCCAACTGAGAAGAAGTCCGATGCTTCCATCCGGAAACCCAGCTGAGTGTGCAGTGCTAGGATCCACCACCTGTCCTGGTATCAAACTAGCCGCATAATGGCAAATTTCCCTCTGATCCACAAGGGCGGCGACTGCCTGTGGTGCTGACGACCTGGGGCAGACTTTGCCCTGGGTGGCGTCGGGACTCCAGGGAACCACAGTGGCTGAACCAGCAGAACTCGGAAATATTGGAAATTATGCTGAGGCTCGCACAGCCATTGAAGGCCGGTCATCCACGCATTCAAGTAAGTATAACGGGACATAGGATGGAAGCAGTGGTTATTTATTTACTAACAAAGGTTCAGTATAGTCACAGAAATATTTTATTTGTCGTTCAACTTTGTGAAGACCGCAAATCTTTTGAGTGGAGCAAAACGTTCGTAGAATAGAGTCTTTTCAGAGAATTCATTAGAGGCCGTGTTATGAACGCATTTGTCCTTCGTGTTTGTCATTCTGTTGATTTGTTCCTCATTCAAACTGTCCCGGCACTCCATGTTTCACCCTGATAACTTGGTTCATTTTTAAGGTATGAACCAGTTCATTTCATTCGTGCTTTGCCTCCTCGTTGTTCCAGCCATTTATGCCACAAGTGAGCCGAAAGGGCCTAAAGTTACGGACAAGGTACGTGATTTTCAGATATTCAGTAGAGTGATTCAATTTTATTATGTTAGAAGAAACTGAAGAAATTGCTGATGGCACTGGTAGATAGAAAATTAGCTGAGAGGGGGGCGAAACGAAAGACAGGCATGGTGTGGTGGTGAATGCGTAAGCTCCTGGAAAGGGTAAGAAGGCGTTCGTTCCCCATTGCAGACACCTGTCGTCCGGAGTTTTCCAAATATCTCAGCATCGTTGTGGTTGATTTCGCATAACACCCTAGCTTGAAAAATGTAGTAGGAAGTAAATGAAAAAGTTAACATTAACTGAACAAATGTTCAGGTCTGGTTTGACATCGAGCAGAATGGCCAGCCCATGGGAAGAATTGTGATCGGTTTGTTTGGCAAGACAGTTCCAAGGACAACAGAGAACTTTATTGGCTTGGCGAAAAAACCCAAAGTAAGCAAAGATTTGGACAGGTGCAATTCAGGAGTTACATCCTGGTAGTTTTTATGTTCGCGTTTTAGGGTGAAGGATACTTGGGTAGTAAATTTCATCGTGTGATTCCGGAGTTCATGATTCAAGGTGGCGATTTTACACATGGTGATGGAACAGGCGGAAAGTAGGTTTCGTGCTTTAGAACTCTTAACTCTTCCCATGACCGACTTTCTGTTAACCTCGGCATTGATTGTTAATTCGATGGTTTGGTTCAATAAGCAGACACGAGGTTGTTATTATAGAATTTATTAGGATACAATACCTAACGTTTCGGCGGTTTCGCCTTCAGAGCCTGGAAGGGTCAAATTGAGATTCGATCTACTCAGCCAGACACTTTCATAACCCTAGGAGATAAAACTTAACAAATACTCTTAGCTCTGCCTTTATATTTAATCCATTAGGTAGTTCACTGTTAAATCACACAGCGGCACTTCTTCCATTCCATTCCTTAACTGGCATTTTTCATCCACGAAGATCTCTGAACTTTTCACGTGTATGTTGGAGTGCTCTTTGTTGTCTTTTCTGTGAATGGTGTTGGAGAAAAGTCTGCTACCAATTTCCGGACCCAGGAATGATGAAAGGTTTCGTGAGGCCCGGTGCAGGGTCGAACCAGCATCGTTCTCGTGGTGAATGTCGTTACTAACACTACGCTACCTGCCCACCTGCGACCACATTTCATTGAAATTCGGTGGTGTTCCTAGGGTTTTCAGCAATGAAGTCCTATTTTTCTATTCAACAAATACATATGGACATCCATGGATTGGTAAAGAGATGTATTTAAGAGGCCAGCCCTTCTTATCAACAAGCATCCTTTGTCAGTAAAGCAATCTTATATCATCGTATGGGCAGCAGTTTCAAAAGTAGAGCTGAAAATGAAGAGTATCTTCTGTTGTTAGCATTATAGTGACTCTATTTTTGCATAAAGATCCGATTTTCCAGTTTTTTTTTCCGTAAGACCTATGTGGGTCTACGATTTTTAAACATTTTTTGTTTCAAATCACAGAAATTTCTAACTTTGAGTAATGCTCTTTTTCATACGTTATATTTACTTGGATACTTTGATGAGCCATCCTTATTGCTTGTGTGGGCGCCAGCATAATTTCCTTTTTCTGGGGATTTTGCTGGCTTTAGCCACTGTGGTTCCCTGGGCCTAGCCAAAGTCTGCCCTAGCTTGTCAGCACTGCAGGAAGTGCCTGACCTTATATATCGGAGGGAAATTTTCCATCATATGACTAATTTGATACAGGACGGTGGTGAATCCTGGTGTTGGTTCTTCCATTATATATTTATATATTTATATATATATATACATATATATATATAATGAGTGAATATTTGATATTGTTTTGTTGGATTACGACAGTAGTGTAGATCACTTAGATAATAATATTGTAGATCCATCTATGGTGAAAAATTTGCCGATGAAAACTTCAAAGTGAAGCATTATGGAGCCGGATGGGTTTCAATGGCGAACGCTGGCAAGGATACCAATGGCAGCCAATTTTTTATTACAGTGAAGAAGACCTCTTGGTTAGATGGTCGACATGTGGTCTTTGGAAAGGTATGCGGAATCCAGTTCGTTTGTTGTACTGTTGCTTTAAATGTTAGATGGTAGAGCCTTGCATTCGATGAACATTTAAGCGTAGTTGGTTCTCTTTAAGCTTTAACAGCTGCATTTTTACAAGTGGAATCCATATTTAGTTAATGATGAGGTATTTTTCGCAGTGGTGACGTTTCTGCTGAAAATAACTTAGTTTTAATCTTTCAAACAAATATTTTTACTAGAAATTTGGTTGAAATGAAAATCGTTGGGGTCTGCGGATCTTTTTGAACAGAATAAAAGCCTTCTTACTCGCTCATGATGAAATTCGTTTTTTTTCTGAGCTCAATAGTCGCTTTCTGTTTGCTTTGTCATCATGACACCTGTGAAGCGAAGCGATTGAGGAGGGATTTCCTAGCCCGATTTACAGTAAACCTCGACATTGATCAATAAGTTATTGCGTTCTTAAATTTTTCAAAAGATAACGGAAAGTTGTTAACACTTCTTTCAACACTGAATGTCTAAGGTTTAAGCGACTTTCTATTTTTCAAAGTAAGTGCTAATGACAAATCAAGTCGTTCAAACTTTAGTAACCTAAAAAATCACTCTCTATTGTTCTGTTTCTCATATTACAAAGAGTATGGCCACCTATAAACCCTTCAGATACGATTGTAAATGGAAGTGACCCAGATAAAAAAATGATCCGGTACGGAGTCTGCGCGATAATAAGGCGTTATGGAAATCAGGCATTCATTCTATCGATACTTTTTTTTGATTTTCAAAGTTCGTCCGGGTCACGAGAGCTCACACGCCAATTTTTTTGATTCTTGCGCTCTGATTGTAACTTTCACCTCAAAATGATCACCATCAGATTCCACAGATACCTTGCAGCGTACATGGTTGGGTTGCTGCTTCGCCAGTTTACTCGTCTCCCTATGTTTTACAAGTGGTAACGTATGCTATAGCTGAGCTCGTGGAATAACCATCCCAACCGTTAGATTAAATCGTAGTATTTAGTTATTTACATAGATACTCGTGTAAGCGGTTTCGAACTAATCTATCAACTCCGAAGAAGGAGACATCGGCGAGAAGTTAGTTATTGAGAACCCTCTCACCACCTTGTGTAATCATATCGAGAATATTTCGTAAGCGGGATTTCATTAAGCAAGACATTGTGTTTCCTACAAATACATCGTGAGTGGAGTTATCTAAGAAGCTGCGATTTCGCGAATTTCTTAACCACCTCTTATACGAAGACTTGACTTTTCGGTTATTGTACTTCCAAATGTTCCAAAAGTCTATTATACAGAAGCTTCGAATTCTTATTAAAAGCTTTACCAATCAGGTGCTTTCGGGAATGGACGTGGTGCGAGCAATAGAGACCGTTCCGAAAGTCGGTGATAAGCCCAAGGACGACATTATCATTGCCGCATGCGGGCATGAAGTCGTGGAAATGCCATTTGCGGTAGAGAAAAGCGATGCTACTGCATGATTGCGAACTGGTACCATATTGTCTTTGTGTGCCTTATTTATTGAGATATGTATGCGATGGACAACACCAGACCCAACTGGTCGCCAAGTCCAAGTTAACCAAGTTTGTAGCTTTTTTTAAATACGTGTGATTTACATAAGCTTTCATGGGAATTTTTGAGCGCATCGATTTCTTAGTACAGAAAAGAACATCGGTGCTGCTGAAATAGTCCTGTTTCGTTTCTTTTCAGCGTTTAGTGACTACAATACTACTCATAGAAATGGGGTTTTCGAGACGATGAACCCCACTAGGTAGTTCCATTCTCGAGATCGTTCCATATAGCCGTGTATAGATCATACTTTGCATATCCCATGCATTTGTATAATAATATGTGCACTTTTTTCGAAAATGGTCCGCAATAAAATGAGGGTTCTCAGAACTGAGTCTCATCTTTTCTTCCTTCTATTTAATATACCTTCAAAGGAGACGAGACTAAGTATACCACCAGTAAGTGGTTTGAAACAAAAACCTATCTCAGGATACTAACATGACCAGTCACCATGAATTCGTATAGTTTTTATCACATTTCCAACCTAAATGGTATGAAGGACTTGACAAGTTTTCTATCTGTCGAGTATCACGAAAGTCCATATAAATATATCAATATGTGCCCAGATTTTCACGAGAAACTGTTGCTTTCCGGCTTTCTCAAAAATAAGACCATTTGTTTACCCGTTGCTGGGCCTTCAGATGGCAATCTCAAATTCAACTTAGGTAGCTCTGCTAAGGAATGAAACCACGTTGTGCATTCCACTCCGGTGCGTTGACTACCTATTCATATCACTTCGACTTGGGGCAGTTATTGCGGTATATCAATACTGGATAATGTCTGCACTCTAAAAGTTATATGTATTCTTAATTAAGTGAAAGAGACTTTTAGTTTATAATGGTTCCTAAGGTTTTGGCGGGGTTCGAGATAGCGGTTATTATTTAAGTAACTCGTGAGACTTTCTTACGGTGGCCCAACTCATCCGACTGTTTCCTTTAGGAAAAAAAAGGCCAGCGAAAAGTAGACCAGTGGCAGGAATTACTCCCATTGTGGAAATAATATTCATTAGGTATAAGGCAGTGAGGAGCTGGAATGTTCCAGCACAGCGTTCGAGACATCAAGAAAAGGTTTTCTCCAACCAGCAAATTACCGTCTAAGTGAAAATGGACTTAATCTTCAGCAATTATTCGTGATTACTGAAGAAATATCATTAAAGTTCTTGATAACTCAAAAGACCGACTTTCTATAAACCTCGGCATAGATAGTTGTTATATTTATTTATATGATCTTATAAACTGACCTTCTTTAGCTGATGCGAGGGTTGGTACAGGTCTTCGTTGTCGTTGTCGTTGTTGTTATTGGTGTTGTTGGTCGATGGCTGACGTTTCGGCGATTTCTCCATCCTCAATCCGTCCCACTCGTAACATCTCGGCTCTGAGGAAGGCGAAATCGTCGAAACAGCCATCGACCAACAACACCAACAACGACAACGACAACGAAGACCTATACCAACCTCGCATCACCTAAAGAAGATCAGTTTATAAGATCATATAAATAAATATAGCATTAAAGTGTTCACGGATCTGCAGTTCCTAACATTGGTAACGAAAGATCATCCGTTAACAAGCAGCAAAACCAGCTGCGATTATTTTGAGATAGAATGGGTAGTAAAAAGTGGTTACATCGTGATTTATACCACATCCTCCGCTTAACTGGGTGCAGTGCCAATTTGTGCTCCTCAAATCAATCCCATAGATGGGTGACTGCTGACAGCACCCACAGAACACGGCTAAGAGAAAGGCGAAGCAAAGGAGCCGCAAGGTGTGGTTGTGAACACGTTAGCCCTCGGAAATGATAGCACCCAGTTCGATCTCCACCGTAGACACCTGTGGTCCGGAGTTTTGCAGATATCTCAAAATCATTGTGGCTACGTTTTGAGACATATTTAACCCTCCAAATTATCCATCACCGAAATTTTAGACACAAACACAGAACATTTCTAAAACAGTTCCATACGTAGAATATTGTACTTTATTCTGCACATATATTTGTTGAACAGTTTTACTGCACACTGTCCTCCTGCGCGATAGTAGACACCATTTTCCATGGTTTCCACTACATGTTCCTTCCTTCGGAAGGACTGATGTCAACGTGTTTAAAATAATGGTCTAAGGTTTCTCTTCCCAGTCTCCTTTTAATAAATGCCTTAAGTTCAATCCGATGAGAGCTGCCAATGCTGCCACCTAAATGAAAGTGTGCTTGCAGTGGTACTTCAGAAGCGAAAATAAATTGACGTTTAGACATCTAAGAGCTATATCCAATAGTTATACTAGCCAAGCAGTTACCTAATAAATGTTTGTCTATGATCAGTGGTACTGTTCCTTGCTGAATTATACTGTTAAGATCGGAAGTATCTAGAAAACATGTACCTGTTCCGCCATTCGTGTATTCGGTTGCCCTTTACGAGATCGGAATTTCTTCCCAAGCACTTCAACACTACCTTCAAATCGTTTGTCTTGTTCCCGTAGGTGCTGAAATGAACCGCATGTAAGCGTCAGTCTCCTGTAAAATGTGGCAAAGATATCGTATTCTAAACTTACTGAAGAGTAAACAGGCTTCTCAGCGTTCACTTCTTTGCAATAGTTAAAGAGGATACATTTCGGTGTAGCACTAGCATTCTTGGCGTCCTTCAGTCGCTTCCTGACAAGAATGAAATTACCTTCAGGTGGTACTCAAAAAAGGATAGGTTGTGCTTGTCACTACAATTGTTTATTAATAATATACTTATAAAAAACAGAACAGATTATACTAGTTAGTTCGGGAAATGTGTGACACTTCCATTTCCTTACTGTTTTGCTTAGTTAGATCAATTGCTGACGTTGGTTTATTAAGATGTGTTAGATGTTGTTTAGATTATTCTACACTTTCAGCTTAGATCCTAAAAGTTACCATTAAGGATCTCGATCAGAATATAAACTACTATCGGCGACGAAGCACTGCCCAACCCCCTAAAACCACAAATGAAAATTGTCATAGTCACTCTACTTTGGCTACTCAACAGTAGCATCGTAGCATGCATGGTTTACCGAAAAATTACTGAATTCGATGGTACACCATCTAAGTGAAGATAATTACTTGACACTTGCCAATCTCTCTAGTTATTATCCATCCAATATTTTACCATGTATTCTCCTTGGAAAAGGTTTCTGAATTACATTTGGTTACGTACGTGCAATACACAGGTAAATGCCCTGCATCCTAAAGAACTGCTGAATGTGGTGTCGAAACCTGGCACACATGGAAAGTTACTTCGTTCTACTGAAGGGGCTTCTAGAAAGTACTCTGTTATGAGACCCTTCGAATTAGTGCCATTTTGATTTCAGCGGCCTACTCTAAACTTCCGATATTGCTCGATGCCGTACAAGAATAGCATTGAAAACACGTTAAAGTTCACTCCGACCATCGTGTCATGGAGTTTCCTCCCGCAGTTGGAATACTCTCCAGACACCCAGACTTGTTTTTTTCCTCCACGTCTTTTAAGAACCGGAACCGTCTGGGAAAACGATGCTTTGTCAATTAGTACACAATCGAAGACGAAATCAAGAAGTCCTTCACTTCTTGTCAACTCGAGTCCGTTATGATGGATAATTGAAAATTTCGAAAGCGTTGGAAAATCGCGATAAACAGAAACTGTAGTTAAAGTGAAAGCTGTCTTCTTTTAAATAAACTTATTAAATTTCTGAAGATGTCTACAGCACAACAGAATTTTCTGATCAACCAAATTAATAAAAAGGAGCGAATGGTCTCAAGAAAGTAAAAATATCCTCTAAATCATACAGTGTAGAAAGGGAGTGGGAATGATAAATATGTAACGAATAAAACAACATATTTTTATAGATAGATGTGTAAAGTAGTGTAGACAGTATTTTAAGGTATAGTGTATTTTAACTTACTGAGGAAACGTTACATCGTAGTACTCGTAGTCGGATATCTCATTAGAAAACACTCGTTTGTTTTGCTTTCGGATCCTATCTCTCCTACATTTCTCATACTTTTCCTCACATCCCCAAGCACGACATATCTCCTGTACGCTACCAGCCAAGACTGTTTGTCGCCCTCTAGGATCACGATCCTGAAAGACTGTAATATAAGAGGACGTGAAAACGAAGGCATCATAGCAGCTTAATCCCTGAAAGTGTTTGTCCTAATTTGCCAAAAATTTATTTTCAAGTTGTTATATAGCTGAATCGTCGGTTCTATAAAACAGGATAGAGGTAATATCCACTATGAGCTAAAAACTAAAAACTTGAAGAGAAACTTAATGTCTACTTTTTCATTTGCAACCTGGTCATGGTTAAGGGTTATACATGGATGTCGGAACACAATTTGCAACAAGTGGTTAACCCCTAATAGGATCACTCCTAAAGAGTTTAACATTTTAATTCCGAAGCTCCGGAAAAAAATAAGCCTAAGTGCTCAAATACTGCCATTCTGATTGAACGACGACTGTGACAAACACTCAGGCTTTGGTAAAATCACTTCATCACTACGACAAAATTAGCAGAAATCAGCATGAGTTATTTGTATTATATCAAGCCAAAACGCCAAAGAGACGATCCGGAAGCAAGTATTTGTACTAGACCAACACCCCAAGCCACTAGGAGGGCCCTAGTGAGGTGTTCTTCATGCTGCCTATAATGAAATCAAATTTAGATTGTGCAGAGTAGACACGATCAAGAACAAGATGACAGAAATACGATGACTCGAGTATTACGTTCCTGCTCCAGCAAATTTCTCCAACAACTTTTTAGCCAATTTCAAACAATAGAGAACATCAGAAAGGGTCGAGTGGGGCAATGGTAGTGATGCCGTCCATCACAAGCTCGGTGCTGGTTCAATCCCAGTTCGGGCTCACCAAGCTTCTTATCCTCCGATGTTGGGAAATTGTAGAAGACTCGTCTAGGAACAGTTCACACCCTGCAATTCAAGTGAGAACGCTCTAGCGCGGTTACCTCAGGAAAATTAATCTGACCAGCCTTCACTGATCTATATTCGTAACGATGGCAATAACCCTCAAGCAGCAGCCGAACCCAAACGCGAAACGTTCAAAGATTTTCGTGGATGATAGGTCCAAGGAAAATATTCAGAGGAGAGAAGTGGTAAGACCGGCACGCTAGATATGAAGATGGGTCGTGTAAAAAAAAAACTAATGGAAGTGGGAATCCCGTGATAGTGAGACAATTACGGAAGTCTACCAGATCGTTTCGAAAAGATTACATTATCAATTCGACACTTTTACAGTTGGACTGTTCGTAGATTTGTTAATTACTTCTTCGTCTGAACATCGAAATCAACCACATTGTAAATCGCCCACTACCATCACGCTAAAGCGGAAGGAATAGTAGCGCATGACCAGAACAACTTACAGGATGCCCTTGCTACGCCGCTAAGATATATAGGCAACTGGAGCTGTCTGTCAATGGACTCAAATGCCAAATATGCCCCTCTTTTTCACTGATGAAACAGAAATCAACAAAAGTAGAAACATAACCAAACTTACATGACAAGACAGTCCATAGCAACGAAGCGTCTTTGATGATTTTCTCTTCATCATTGTAATTTTTAAGTTTCAAAAGTTCCATTAATCTAAAGTCTAAAATTCGTTTTTATCCCGTACTAAACTGCACAGCAGATTGGGCAAACTGTTCGGTAATTGGCAGAAAAGTTTGCAGTGTGTATGACAATGAATTCTCACAAGCTCAGCAGAGTTTAAAAAATAACTACGAAATTGAAATCAGAGAATATTTTAAAGATTAGTGCATCTGTGGAACAGTGGTCCGGTGAACTGACACCAGACCTATCCGCGAAGATAATCGCATTGATCAATCCCTGAGGAATCCGCCATGCATTCGACTTCATAAAATATCGTTGGATGTGATTGAATGCATATCTGACCTTCACAATGACTCGCAGTGGGCTGTCGATGTATCGGTCCAGTGCTACTATCCTCCCAAATAAGGCTGGTACCAATTTGCCGAACTCAAAGGGATGGTGGCTTGGTGAGGCTAGAGGGCGGAGATCGATCCCATGTGTATTGCAGGGTTCCTCCGAGCATTGCGCTACACGCTTCATAACACTATCAGAAGATAAATGTGATATTAATTAAACTCAAATCAATCAAATAACATTATGAATTGACATGAACTGTTTATAATGCTCTGTTTTCTTGCTCACCTGGTTACTCCCGAGCATTCGCTGAACAACGTACTTTGTCGCTGTATAGTTTTCATCACATTCGCAGGCCTTAATGAAATAATCGTTCTATCGACAATACATCAATTAAAAGAAAATCATTCAAGGCGACAACAGCGATGGATCTACGGTGCCTACGACCATTTCAAAAAGCTCACTAAACATCTAATGCTTCTACTTTATCTCTGCTAACAACCCGTAACCAAGCATTTAATCTATCACAAACAATGGTAATATGGGTGAAGTAAGTCCATGGTATATAGTTGCGAAAGAAAATAAAGTACTATTCATCAGTAAAAATCGTTAGGAGGCGTACCAGGTCTAAAAAATTCCTGACATCTTCATCAAATTGAAGAACACCTTCGCGCCTAAACACCGATGGACAAGAAAGAGCTTTCCGCGCAATCATCACAGATGACGTTCCCGTGTCGGACCGAAATTTCAGTACATCGTCGTAACAATTGATATCGGCGGATCCACCACTGAAATACTTTGAAGATAAACCAGCCCCATATTGCCTATAAATACATGCAGTTTTCAAAAACTAATAAACTAAAATATTAATCTGCTAGTTTTCTACGTTACTAAACTGACACGAGTTCGGTATAAAAACTTTTATTTGGATAACGTCTTGGCGCTTTCGGCTTCTTTATAACCGAAGTAACCCAAGACGATGGTCCCAATCTGGTCGTTGTCGCGATGTGGGAAAAATGAAACACGGACTGTTACATGACGCACTGTCCACCGAAAAGCAGATCACATCGGAAGAGGAAATCGACCAAAATCCGTCTGTATAAAAGGGTACCACTGCGCAAAGCTCCCTATTCGAGTGGTGCTCCCTGCACTAGATTCGACTCGATGCGACTATGAACACCTACATCGTACCAAGACCAGATTGGGACCGTCTACTCGGACCAACACCGCTTTGATGATGGCGAAGGCACCGAAACAGCCGCATAAAGGTTTTTGTACTGACCTCGTGTCAGCTCGATGATTTAGAAACGCATTTGAGACAGCTGTTAGATTAAAAACGCATACCGGTTACACCAGGATTAACATAACTTTAATATGTTGATTATATATGGGTATAAGCCTGGTTTTACATTACTCTGGTCTATCCAAATCCAAGAAAGAGATCCAGGCGATCTCTATGCGTCGTCGCGAGGTAAATGACTCTGTTGTGGACCTTGACTAACTTCTAGCTAACGTATGAACGAATACAGGTAATAACATTATAAAAAATTATAAAGCCTCCACCACTGGATTTTAACTGTGCAGGTGTTAACATGCTGTGAAATTACAAGTACTTTTCAGCCAGCTGTAAGGCAGATGTAAGCTGGTAATGAAACATGCTATGATGTTGATTTGAGAAATGCTTTGGAATGGAAGGATAAATGGGACCAGCAGTAAACATAGCACAGGAAACGTACGGTAATATAGAAAACAATAACTATTTGGTGGACAATACCCTGGCGTGAGAACTGTAGTAGGCACTAAACAAAAAAGTTAACATTGTGACTTAGACTGCAGCTTCAGCTATATCGGGCTACAGCACATAACACAAAGCACACATAAAATCAAATTTTCGAGACGAGAAATAAAAAAATACACTATTTACGAGGTCATGTCATGACTCACTTTGCTATGACTGGTATTCTTACGGTTCTTGCGATTTCACGAATTTCGTCTATCCTACATGGGTGATGATCACGCTCATCTCTTCGCCGACCGTGGACTCCTATAGCAGCTACGCCACAGTTTTCGATTACGCGAACTAGATTCAGTGTAGCCGATAGCTCAAAATTAATACGATCAATGTGACCTATGAAGGCGATGTGGAGCTACTGATAACTAAATACGATGATGTATAGTTCTAAAAGTAAGCTTGACCAACATCGTCCAAAACCCGAATCTTGCACGAGACAGGTACCTGCGATACGCCAACAAGAGAGGTCAATATCTGGAAAAGAAATGAAGTTGTTATTCAATAGTTGGTAGCATAGTGACGCTCTAGTTGAATTCAGCTCTAAATGCGTTGGATCAAATGGCGAAAACACCTCTGCCCAGAAACTTTTTGTAAACACTGCTACTTCATTAGACTGCTGTCATCATGTCACAGCATTTTAAAAAAGTTCTAAAGGCTTGTTAAACTATTTGTGCTACTTCCCGGCATTATGTCATCACTCCGAGGTCGGCAATTTGGTACCTATCTCGGAACATAACAACACTTACTAAGTACGCTGGTAGGATACAGCAAGTCATTCATTTTTGTATTCATCTATCTCTATAATGCTTAACAGAATGGTGTCCGTGGGCCAGCCCCTCAGCGATCTATCAATGTTGAAAGCTTTACCCTATAAAGTTCATTATCAAATGAGGGAAACTAACCTCTTTAACCTTATCGACCTGTAGCAACAGAGCGGCTCCCATGCCACAATGAATAGAGAACGGCTTTGGACAACCCATATTGACATCAATCGCTGCTACATCTGCACCACTGTAATTCAGCGATTAGCAACGTGGTGCGTCCCCAAGTGGCGGAAAGGGGGTTAATCGCGGACCAAAAGCGACCTTTGCTTCCCTGAGACTATGGATCCAGGAGATGGACTCTCTGTTTCTACTGCGTCGATTTGGCACATACTTTCTGTATTTGCTAGGTGTATTCATGCATGCGTGTGTGAGTGCGTTCTAGATTATGCGGATTGTATTCTATGAGTCAATTCCGCCAAAAGCCTGTTATCAAGTGAGTGGAAAGTAATATAGGAGAAGGCTAGGAACGCCTCCGGCGAAAAAGCTGCCGCCCACTCTGGGGGAAAATGGCAAGTTACCCGTGGGTATACGCAGTCTTCTCCCGATGTTCAAGGCTCACCAAGCTATGCGCCAAACCCAGTAAGATAAGTGGGCCTCATTTCAGTGACTCCGAATGAGCTTCGATACACCAATACGACAGCATTCGGTAGGACGAAGACGGACAGGCTTTTAAAAACTCAAGGCCATTCTAGGCTACCTAAATCTGGAAGAACTGAAGCGATGATCTGTGCCTAGAATGCGCGCTAACTTGCACTCGAGTACTCGATAGAAGAGTGGTAATACAGGCAAGAAAGACAAATTACGACCATACATTCTTTGAGGTCAACATAGAAGATCTTAAATTAAGATTGGACCTAAAGAACATCTGCAGAACGTCACATTGGGACTCACGGATCAAAATGGAACGAGCAAGGTGAGCGGCTAAGTTTTATCATCACGACCAAGACCATTCATGGTGAACCGCAATTCCAGAACCCCAGCTTACACATATCAACAGCGAAACATAAGTAGACCGATCTTATAATGAGAAAAACAGACGGCAGATGAACGAAAAGAATTCTAAGTGGACAACACGAAAAAGCAGGTGTTTTCCAACATGGCTACCAACACGTTAAGAGGACGTGTTCATAAATAAAGTTAAACAGCAGTACTTGGAGGTGCAGTCATTTTACAAATCAAGGTATGAGACTCGCACTTACCACTATGATCGTATGAAACCAACCATGGACTATGATTACGAGGCAAAGAAACGACGGAAAATGAACTGGGGTCCGCACAACTCGTGGAGACGTGCCGTTCAAGTAAGTAGCCTACTGCAGTTCAATGGAGAGAAAATATGAAGGCTACATACGAGTGGAAAACCATTGTTAGAATGTACTCATACAAGTTACAATAAATTCCATAATTACGATATTTCCTTGGTGAGTACTAGGCGTTACTCGAATCAATTTTTCTTCACGGCAAGGTAATACGTGGAACACAACCACAATGATGGTGAGTTGATTTTAAGTAACAGACAGTGAATAAAAGTTGAGCGCTGTGATTTTTACTGCAGCTTTCAGCTTAACTGGGTTCAAAGTCGGTTTATACTCCCTAGATCATTCCCGTTGACGGGTGATTGCTGATGGCATCGTTAGGATGAAGGAAAGGTAAAACAAGGGCCTCGGTGGTACAGTAACTAGCATGTGAGTATCCGTAAAGGGTAAGTAGGTTTAATTCGAAGATAGGGGATGTGGCAGCGCAGTGGTTAGTCACGTTGTTCCTCAGGAAGCAAAATGCTGGTTCGACCCCTTACCCATTGCCCTGCATTAGTCTACGTGTGAACGCTTTAGTTAGGATATTTCTAAGATTGCAAGGATAATCGACTCGACCGGCATTCTACGACATTAATAAAGAAGATGAATCCTCAATCAGCAGCCAAAAGAACACGTGATATGTTCGAAGACCTTTGCGAACGATGTGAGCAAGGAAGAGGAAAACGAATCGAATGCAAAGTGCTGGGATCTGCACAATGTACTTGATGATAGATCATGTAAAATAAAAAAAGACAGACCACCGATATCTCCACTTTTTCTATACTGGTGCAATCGCAGTGGAGTTTCAGCCTTAAAAAGATCCCGCGAGTAAAATAGCCTATTCCATCAAGAAATTGAATAACCAGTTGATGAGGAACCAATGATTACAGCCACAGTTCTAAAGTATATATAGGCATACATTGTACTTAGAGATACAGTAGAGTACACAAATGATCGCTGGTTCGACGCCAACGCAATTTAATTAGACCACACTATCTCCATGGATTGGAAGTTTGGTAGCACATTTGTCTAGGCAGAAAAGCTCCCTTCGATTACTAAAAGCAGGCGACGTGTCATGATAAAAATCTGGGAGCGTTCTTACACGCTATTCCATTGTTCCAGCGGAACGAAAGGAAAGAGCGAATGAGGAATGTTCCGAGACCCAGACAATATATAGATGCAGGTTATATAATAAATAAAATGGAAGTAAATTACAGCACATACACCATTCTCGCTACTTGGGTCGCCCTTGTCCCACTATTGGTTCCAATCTGTAGAACGCAGCGCCCGATTTCACCCGGAGCAATGCGTAACACAATGTCATCCACCAACGCGTAATCTACCGTATTCAGGATATCTGAACAATGTAGAACGCAAATATTTTCTTGGCGATCATGTGGAATAGTAATGCCTTAACATACTGTTAACTACTCGAGTACTCGATAAAAGCTTCTGGTCGATTATTTCCTCAGTGTAACACAGATCTGCGCCATACTTCAGAGCTAGCAGTCTGAAACCGAATACATGAATGCTTACTCAACAGTAACAACGAGATACGTTAATAGCATCGAGCATGAACATAAACAGCTCAGTGCTACTATTCTCACAGACAAGTCTGGTACCAATTTGCCAACCAGGAGGGATGGAAGGCTTGGTGGGCCATAGGCGTGGGGATCGATCCCATGTATATTGCAGGGCGCCTCCGAACACTGCACTACACGAACCTCCAAAAAAGACATTGAAACACATCTGTTCCAGTTAAAGGAATATAAACCGCAAAGCAAAAACATTTTAAAAACCTTGAATCGTTTCCAATCCTTATACTCGCATTAGTCATGAAAAAACATGAACCTCAGTGGTGTCCGTCCTGCTCGGACCATTGGAGCCATGATAACCTTGTTCGCAAACAGAGAAGAACCGCTGGTAGCACCCATCTGAGTGCCTTCAACATTTGGCCTGTTGTATACCATGCAGTATTCACTGAAATATAACAAATTAATATCCAAACGGCGATCCTGACCAATAAGCTATCGCAAAAAGCCACTCTTTGTCAACATCTGGCAGGAACTTTTTCAATCGTATTCGAAGCCCATAACATCAGATAAGAGGATGAAATCCATTATTCATTCCCAAACACATTAGGCAATGTATTCTGAGTCTACATGAAAAGAAAGTTCTAGTAACAAAACAAACATGTCGATGAGATAGAAATTGTCATAACCCAATATCACCAAAAAGCGAAACTGTGAGACTCTCTTAATAGCCGAATACTGACTGACACGAAACTAACTATCAATATGAAAATGTACACAAAATAAAAACTAAATCCATTAGGACGAGAAGGACATCATCACTAAACTGAATTGGATGCACAGCAGCACTGAGAAGCTCCGGCAAGAGCGAGAACGAACGAACGAAAACATTTACATAATATCCGCTAACAGTGAGGTTACTGCTCTGTACAAAAGCCATGTTCGTGAAAAGTAAACTGTAATAATGGTTAGGATAATGCAATAAAATAATTGTAAAATAACTAGAACTGAAGTATATTACAGTCTTATGTAAAACTGAATGCAGAGTACTCAATAGAGGCTTTTGCAAACTTGGATTAAACTTAGCCACAATGGCTTCGTATGGCTCTAGGTCGCTTGAATTCCGATCAAGTCCATTCACTGTCTTTCTTGATGAACAATCACAACGTTGTTATAATGGTATTTATTAATATATAATACCTAACGCATCACTATAGCGCTCACGGTAGAGACGGTGATTGAGTTCGGTTACAGTGTACCTAATCTCTTGTAAAGCGTCTAGCCACGAATACATTTGCGGAACAGATGGACTACTCTGCGCCCGCTTAAAAGAAGATCTAGTCGGTAAATTTAAAGTGGACTTAAATATTTCACTAGGTGCGCATCTGTCACAGAAATATAAAGATTTTGGAATTGAAGTTACCAATCCTCACAAAGGAATCCAAGACATATCAGTGCGTTTTACTCTTGAAACATTCTGGACAAATTCCAGAAATGAACAGCAAACCTAAGTGTCTTGTAACCATGCGTGACCTAGCACATAACCTAGACTAATTTTTTTTTGACCTCAACCAGGTACATTTCTCGACCATGTCAGCTATTGTGAATTAATAAACGCCTATAATAACAACCTTTTGTTAGTTCATTGAGAAAAACAGCGAGTTATTGATCAATGCCGATATTAAAAGAAAGTTGGTCTCGGGATTTGGACTTGTGAGAAACTGTTAGGAGAAATTACATAATTGTACGTGTCACTGATTACCACTGAAAGAAATTACTAGATCACATCCTTCAATATCAACTAATCAACAAATGACGAATTTAATAATCCGTTGGGTCTTCCGATAAACTTTCGGATGATTGCTGAAGACGTGCATCTGCTATAGGTTCACCATAAAATCATCCAACGACCATTGCTGAATCATCCTGTGTTGTCGCAGACGAAGACGTACAATTACTTGATGAAAGATTTGTATGACCAAAGACCTAAAAACTACAACACTTTTTACTATTCTAACACACATACGTAAACACATGGATGGCCCCTCTTAACTGATTGTGCGGACCCCAGCATAATTTCCACTTTTTTCGGAGGTTTGCTGGTTCAGTCAATGTAGCGCCCTAAAGCACCGAGGTCAGCCTAGCCAAAGTCTGCCCCAGATCGTCGTCACCATGGGTAGTCGCCGCCCTTGTGGATCAGAGGGAGGTTCGCCACCATGCGAGTAGTTTGATACCATGATGGTGGTGGATCGTGATATTAGTTTACTCTTAGTTGGGCTTCCTGAAAGAAACGCTGGACTCCTCTTCAAAATGAGAGGCTCTGCTAGGGGGATGACTCCCTCCGCTGTACATAGTACCTCATCATTAAGGAGCACCCCCAGATATGATGAGGCGGTAAACCATTGGGAGAATTCTGACACATATTTCGCAAACTCGAAGTATAAAAGCATACCAGTTGGGCAACATCAGCGAATGCACAGTGAGGAATTTTGGCCGAGGCTAATTCCATTTGCATCTTGGACCATATGTTAAAATAACGAGATAGCTGTGATTGAGCACTCCTTCCTCCAAATTCTGGAATGTTAAAGGAACATATGTTAATTAACTCTTGATCCCACGTGTTATTAAACAATCGTCGAAAGCCTTCTAATACTTAAAATATGTATGTCTCAAATATTCACTGTCCTGGTCTAGCCCACGTGTTTTCCAAATGGGTGGCCCGGCAATCATCTATGCGCTAAAGTAATGAAAAATAACCACAATGCTGCTGAGATATTTGCAAAACTCCGGACCGTAGGTGTCTACGGTGGGAAACGAACGCGTTCTGGGCTAACACATTCGCCACCCTCGAAGGAGCTTTGCAAATATTTCAGCAACATTGTGGTTATTTTTCATTACTTTACCGCATAGGTGATTGCCGGGCCACCCATTTGAAAACAACCACAATGTTATTTCGCACATAATATCCTGCCGTAAAAAGTTGCAACAGGCAGTAAATAGAAAAGTTCACATAATGAAAAATAATTTAATGTCGAATCAACAATCCGTAAATGCTAACCCAATATAGCTGAAGCCGTCTGTTTAGCCAAATCACTTAGATGCTGCTCACTTAAGAGCTCATGTGACTCGAATTGAGCGTAATCCATAAGACATATAGTTGCTAATGAATCCTGAAAGCACGTTCTGCAAAATTTTCACAAATGTTGACGGCCGAAATAGAATGAAAATACCTACATTCAAAATAGCCTTTGCTGACCCACTTAAATTCGGAATCTGGAGAGACAAACTATATATCGATCGACCGAATTCAATGGCTTCGTTATATTTCTGGTACCTACAAAGAATAGTGCACACAATCATACAACATGGAAAAAAATGAATGTAAAACACTTACTCTACTGCTTGTGCAGCTGCCTTTTCAGCACGAACAATGCCATCTTCGACATCGACATCTTAAACAACACTGAATTCTAATTCATCCAAAAGTAAATGGTTACTGGATCACCTCCACCGTCTTCAATATTCTCTTCTTCGACTATCGTAGTATCTCCAACCGCACCATGAATAACACCATGATAAACAGAAACTCCATCAACAGAACCAGAACCATTTTTCACATCTTCTGCAGCATGACCATTTCGAGGAGACAGATGATGAACAGTGGAAGAACTACAGGGCTCTTCCTCCATTTGTACGTCAGACTGACTGCAACAATATAAATGTATGGACGATGAGAACAAAGTTCATACCCATACTATATGCACTTCAATACAAGTATGCTACCTATTAAGGTAGCACTGCGTCTCAAGAATCTCTCCCACATACGGATTACAAGACAGTTGCTATGTTAGTCATCACCATGTGGCAGCAAAGGATTAAAGCAGACCAAAAGCGACGTTTAAGTTCCTTGAGAAGCTTGTGGAGGCCGTGTTTGCGCAATATCGAGATATACTACTTGCTTGTGTTTAAGAACATTCATGCAGGCATGCGTGCGTGTGCATGACATTCTGATTAGATACTGGAAGCTAATCCAGCCACAGTCCACAGTAAATGATTGGGAAGTACAAGAGAGGTGATTAAGAGTGGCTTCTAGCAAATAAGCCTACATCTACTCTAGAAAGACTTGCGAGGTACTCTTTAGTATATCCAATCACCAAGACTGAGCTAGGCAAGTTCCCTATGGGTACTAATATTTGTAAGTAGCAAAAAGAAAATGTCACGGTCTCACAACTTTGTACGAGTCTCCAATAAACAGCGCTAGATAGAGCGATTAAGACCATACATGGTAACTCACAATTCCAGAACTCTACTCTTCACGCTGGACATGGGAGTTTGCTAAAGAAGAGTTAAAAAATAAAACGATGAGCTTTTGGCGTTCGTCAGTCCTTGAGATGAGCTGTGCATTCAACTTCACCAATCATCGCTGAGATAATTGAATGCATATTTGGTCTGTACAGTGATGGCCTACCAATGTATCTGTCTAGTGCTACTAATCTTCCAGAGAAGTCTCGTACCATTGTGCCGACCCTGAAGAGATGGAAGGCTTGTTAATTACGTGGCGCTGGATCGAACCAGTAATAGACCCTGTGTGTATTATACGGTACCTCTAACCGCTGCGCTACAAGCGTCTTAAATGGAGAGTACCATAAAGAAATATACCATAAAGAAACAGACCACTGCAGAGCGACCAACAAAACCGGTGAAGGATATTAGGGCGAGCAAGGCAGTAATGATGAACCAAACTAAAGGAGTTACGAAGGACTATAACGACGAATGAAAAAACGTCGCAAACTACACTTCGAAGACGAAAGTTTTCTGATGCTCAGGTGGAATAGTCACTACATTTAGGAAGGTGAGAAAATAATCGACTGCTTCTACTCTGAACTCTTCAACAGAGATATCCTCCTGCTTCCATATCAAATCAAGAAGGATGGATACTTCGTCCCAATGGTTCTGCCTTTCGAAGTCCAACATACTGTCCAGTCGGTAAAGAACTGCACACACCGGTGCAACCAGGACCAGGTAGAACATGGACTGAACATTTGGAGAACTACTAACAACCCTCATCGAAACACTGTTCCCGCACCTTACGCGGTACCTAGAAGAAGGTAAAGCTCAGTTTGTGGAATAGAGAGAAAACTAAGTTGCTGCACAAGAAAGAACGGTAAGGGATAAAGCGTTCAGTGTTGAAAAACCTCTTACAGACTCACACCAATGTATACAAGTTGATTAACAATCTTAAACGAAAAAGGATTGAATGGACAATTAAGCCTATACAATCCGAACTAGAATCCTTGACGACAATTAGCTGACAAAAGGGGTTAGCGACTGGGTCAACCGAAGAGTCAACCGCATTCATGATGACCCTGTGGAAAAAAAGAAACGCTTCAAATCTCTAGAGCGGCAGGCCTATTTGGGTACTTTTGCATGAGACAGGAACTATGGAAGACCTTATTGGCAACCGTTCGTACTATTCGACGATGAAATAAGAGAACAAATAACATGTGAGACAGTGTTGTTCCGCAGATACCTCCTCGAACTCTTACCCTTTCTTTCCACAAAAGTGCAGATTCCATCGGCCGTGTATTTTTTTAAATAGAACTTTGCCTTTTGAATACACTAAAGTTCCCCACAAAGTGAAACCCAAAACGTTCGGCATTTATCTATTCTTGAGAGATCCATAACGCATTCGGTTCCATTGACCAAAGCATAAGGATGAATGACTCCCCCTTTGCCCCACACAACGAATTGTGGCCCATGCAGCGCAGTTACCTAAAAAAATACATATGTGACCGTTAGTATGATTCCATTCGAGGTCACCGAGCTTTCAATCTTTTTACAGTCGGCAAACTGGTGCCAGACGTCTCGCAAATGAAACACTGAGATGACACATCGACAAGACACCGCAATTCATTTCACAGACCAGGTATGCGCTCAATTATCTGTACGATGCTTAAGGACGTCGAATGCATAGTGCGATTAATCAACGCCGAATGTTTTATCTCTTACCTCTCACAATGAATTACATTGCAAGCCCAGCTAATGCGCTAACGTAATTTAATGTCGAAAGAAAGGAAAGAGAATGGTACTTTACTCACATATTAACGTCTTTATCAGAAAACGGTGGAGTTCGTCTGGCTGGTGGTGCTTCTATGTCCTCCGCTTGAGAATCCACTGAAAAGCGGAAAGCAGTAGGAACTGGGAATTATAGAATACAAGATGATTCTATAAAAGGACTGAACAATATTTTCATTACCAAACACCACTTACCGTACTTACCATATGTTCGTTTATGCGGATTTGTTGAATGGGACAGGGTCGCTGAAAACATAAAACCAAAATTGATGACGTATCCTTAGCAAAAGCATCATATTAACACGCTAACCTTAAATAGATGGAAGCACTTACATCTTGGTGTAACTACAGAATGTAAAGCCTGGCCGTTCGAACTCGACGCTGTGACCGGATTCGCCAGAGAATCCTACATAAACGAGCACATACAGTCATAGTGGTATGACTATGACATGCTAAAGTTACGAGAATACAGTCACTCACTTGTCTAGCGATTTCAGCGGCCATCTCTACAAACTGCTGACATTTCAGAACGAGAGCGATATTTTTATTAAGCACAAAAATATCCGGATAAGCCTCTTCCATTCTAGATATCGCCTCTTTACTACGCCCAGATAACACAAGAGCAACGATTTCTAAACCAAATAATATAGAAATAATAAAACGAGAAAAGAATGCAATAGCTATTCATTTGATTGAGGCTATTCAGACTAACATTAGGCCTTTTTTATTTACTACCTACAATTTTTGACAGCACGGTATTATGTGTGATACAACCATAACGATGCTGAGATACTTGTAAAACTCCGGACCACAGTTGTCTGCGGTTGAAAACAAACGCGCAGTTGACGGGTGGTTGCTGACGCCACTGGTAGATGGAAAACTAGCCGAGAGAAATGCGAAACGAAGAACCCGCATGGTGTGATGGTGGACGCGTTAGCCCCCAAAATGGGTAATAGTGCGCTCGTTCCTCACCGCAGACGCCTGAGGTTCGGAGTCTTGCAAATACTCAGCATTATTGTGGTTGTACTACACTAACATTAGGTTTGCAAGAGAATAGCATAAACAAACAAAAGCCTTCCATATAAAGGACAAGGTGGAATAAAAGGAATCGCACTGATGTAGACTTTGAAAAAACGCACTACCATATTTTTGCATTTAGTTGCGCAGTTACTTGTTCAACCATTCATTTCCACAAATAAAGCTAACCCAAGCAACATCTCCTTCTATTTTTTGACTTTTCCTTCTCCATAACTTCTTTAAACAAGTACTTTCTTGAATCGCACGCTTTACCATATTCTAGACAGATTACTTACATGACGAAAGAGAATTCTCTTCTCCGTTTGGAATTTTCTTTTGTAAAGCAGTTATTAAATTCGTATTCGAAAGTAAGCGCATGAAAAAAGAATTGTCACCTTTTCTCATCTCAATGCTTTGTTCATCTTCTTCGGGCACAAGCTTTGCAGCATTACAGAATGAAGCCATAGACTTGCTATACCCTTCACAAGCCATCCACGACGATACTAGCCTTAAAAGAAGAAAGCTAGAACGTAAAAGCACTCTGTAAAAGAACCGTAAAAATTGAGACCTAAGTTTTGTGTACCGAGAAAAGGAATGAACCACCTGTTCATCCAATCGGTCTTTTCGGGAGGAAGCTGAATTGACAGAATTTCATTGGTGACCTTAGCTCTGGCCGTCTGATAAAGATAAATTGGTGCTTAAACCTTGGACACGAAACGGTGGAAAACGACTCAACCTCCATTTCTGGACGAATGTCAAAACGAAAAGGTCGTTGACCAAAATTAGCGTCTACAACTTCTCCAGTTGTCTGCAAACCAACTGTTGGATAAAGATCATCAATATGTTCCAAATCTCTCGATGCGATACCTACAATGATATTAGACCGTAGTCAAATTCTAAACCACATCAAAAGGGGAACACAAAGCTTGAAAGGAAAAAAACTAACCAGGGCAATCAAGCCTACCTAAATGTACTCCATTTTTAGTGAAAAATATTGTTTTGTTTACAAGATTGATGCCACAACCGACAACATCACCAGAGGTAAATTTCGGACCATAAGACACGCCATTTCCAGAAAACGAAAAGAAATTCCCATCATCCCCATGATAACCATAAGAATACCGGTCCCAACCTAAACGAAACCACAAAACGCTTCTAAAAAGATCGATACATATATGATATGCTTACCAGGTAATCTATTAAGATTAACAGACTTCCCACATACACCGACACCCATGCAGCCCTTTAATCCTCGAACAATTGTGATCTATGACACAAGTTTTTGTATATAAAAATCAATCTGAGCTCTTAAAAAACAAATGTACTTCGAAATAATATACGCCACATTGCGGTGGAATAGGATAGTCTGCACGAGTCGATGCAGCGTCTTTCTGCTGTTGTTTGCCGTTTCCTAAGAAAGAAAGATAAGAAGAAACAAAAAAGAAAGAATAATGAGACAAGAAATGGCATCGATCATGTAAGCTAACCTTTATAGCTCACTCTTAAGGAACTGTGAGAAATATCTAGAAAGTGGTATTTATCATTTTTATTCCATGTCCGTGGCAATCGCTGAAATAAGTAGTATATTGGTAAACACTTCGAGTTCGACGGTGGTTGATCCCCACTATAAATGGGGATCGATAGATAACTGATTTCAATTCACAGATAGTCAAGGGTAAAATTAGGCGTCGTACGGCTGGGCCACCACACAAAATTAGGTGAATGTGATTCTACGTGTTGAACATACGGAAAATACAACAAATCTGAACAATTGACAAGTAGAAGGCTTCTAAATAGGAAAATGTCTCGTAAAGAGGCGGATAGCACACATAGTGAAACCGATCATCATGAGCATGATGCTGGTTCGATCTCGCTCCGCGCTCACCTAGTACCTCATCCATCCCGAGTGAGGAAGATGGTGCAGGACTTGTCTGGGAAAAGCTCACTCCCTGAAATCCAACTGGGAACGCTTCAGTCCGGCCACCTCGGGACTCCAGTGACAAAAGACTCGACCAAAATTCTACGACACTCAGGGTAGAATTAAAATCCTCAAACAGCAGTCGAAGCTACACATAAAAGTTGGACCTTGGTGGATGATGGTTGCGAGGAAACGAATCGAATATAAGGACGGCTGGGATCCGCCGTAGACCACAGGTGAAAAAGATTGATTTCTGACACGAAGCCGCAATTTACAATTTGTAGAACCAAATCACAAACACTACGTAATTCTGATTAACGACCAGTGCTGTAAAATAATATTACGAAAAATAGTAAGAGAGCCTAAAAAACATAGAGATTCCTCTCCAGGTTTTAGCCTTGCGATACTGAAAATGGCACTTCTCCATAAGTGCGAAATTCACATAACATTTCAAAAAAAAAGGCTAAAAAGAAGTTCCAATGATTTACAACCTCACTGTTGCTTCGATTTTCTTTGGTGTCGAAGTGTGGCGCGCAGAGTGCCGATCATCTATCATGGTATAAGCCCATATGTTACATTTCTTTATGAACGTCCTTAAGGGCAAAGCAATATCAGGGATCTCTGCTGTTCAGAAGAAATTTAATCGGAATGTGAAAAAAAAACCCGGTCCATCACGTGCTCGAAATCTCAGTGGAAAAATTTGACTAACCAAAAACATATCCCAAGTATAAAGTTACAAGTAAAGAGAGGGTCTATTAATTCTTTTTAGAAAAAGCAGTATAAAAAATGAATAGCGCGGACGACAATGCAAAGCACGTTATTTCAACTCAACAGTTTAGAACTTATTAAGCACTTCAGAACAAGAAAATAAAAAATGAATGCGAAACCCCGAAACGAGAAAAAACTTCCAAAAATTTAAAGACATCGAAGTCAAGAAGAAACGTTATCAATTAGCTACAGGATAAAATAAAAGGATAAAGCTCTCGGCGTTGATCAATCTCTAATGAATACGTCACGCAATAGACTTCATTAAGCGTTAGAGGTGACTGGATGCATATTTGGCCTATACAGTGACTCGCTGTAGACTACCGATGTATCGAGTCAGCGCTGCTATCATCCTAGACAGTTCTGGTACCAATTTGTCGACCCCGGAGTCCCCTTGGTGAGCCTGAAGGGCGAAATCGATCTCATGTGTATTGCAAGGCCCTCTAACCACTGCACTACACACTATCCTTAATAGTTATAGCTAGAGAACAAAGTAAAAGAGCATTAATGACTTACCCTCAAATCTACACGTGGGTAAAGACTGGCGAGGCGTTCCCGAGCTACACGTTCATCTTCCTAAGAAGCAACGCTTTCCTGTCATGGTTGACCATTACGACAAAATGGTAGTCAGAAGCAACTTACCTCAAATGTTGTAGCCGGTTTCATTCCGTCACTACACCAACTGTCCTCTGATAGACCACGACTCGATGACATCTAAATATGAAGGGCTACAATAAAAAATAAACACAGGATAAAGCTCCCTGCGTTTATCAACCTCTCATGGATGCGCCATGCATTCGACTTCATTAATTCTTGGAGGTGACTGAATGCATATCTGGTCTTTACAATGACTAGTGGTGGCCTTACGATATATCGAACCAGTTTTGATACCATCTGGACAAGTCTGGTACCAGTTTGACGACCCCGGAAGGATGGAAGGTTTGGTGAGCCTGGGCGCGGGGAACGATCCATGTGTATTGCAAGGTGCTTTCAAATACTTCGCCACGCACGCCCTATGGTACAATGAGATACATAGATGTGGCAACGCAAGACAAGAACACTCGCCTCTTCTCCCATATCCTCATCATTGGAGTTACTGGAATCATCTGCGAGAGGAAGACCACGGTTCGTTATCATTATAAATGTGAACCTGGTTGATAGATTACTTCTTCCTTACTAGGAACATACGCTGTGAACAGCAACTTTACACTTTAAAGCAAAAACTTTGGAAAAGGAACCATGAAAACAGAATGGAAGAAACAATCAATTAAGCCATTTACTATTTTCATCTCATATTTACACTATAACAACCACGCTATTATTGGCACTTTAATACTTCCAGGGATCTTCATGTTTAGGGATTGCACGGATCCTTTCAGCATACATCTTCGAACGACCCTAAAATGAAGAATTAAGCTTCCTATCGAAAAGTGAAAAAACTAAGTAGAATAATGTCATGCACGGTCTTGATATTGGGAAATCCCAATTTCACTTACAGCTCAACAATACGAAGAACTGGTAGAATTTCCCTATGGGGCTTCATGAATGTCCCAATATTGATTTGGCGCAAACTAAGAGCCTGAAAAGCCTTCCTGGGCCGAGGATAAACCTGGTTAATACCACGACTTCGAATCACAAATGCGAGTTTAGAGATTAGGTTCGTTTGCAACATAAACTCGCATTTGTGATTCGAATTCGTGGTATTAACCAGGTTCATCCTCGACCTCGAAGGCTCTTCAAGATCTTCGTTTGCGCCGAATCTATAATGGAATAGAGTACTCGTGAAGCTCAATAAGATAACTATACCCCTTCTAGGTAGAACACTAACAACTCCGTATGGATGACCAAAAAGTGCGAAGTCCCACCTTCATCATTTCAACCTTCGCATAGCCAGCATTATCCCAACAACGGCCGAAATGGTACACAGGGAATACTGTTAACCAATATCCTTTTTTATCCCAGAACACAGTTCGGACGAAGTATGCCAACGTGAACGTTCCCATATAACTCGGTGGCGTTCAGATATACTGATCCTAAAACTTCGACATTAAGAGTAAAACGATTCACGTCGTAATCCAACGACAACAAATTCGTTGTCGGCACAAAGTAATTGATATCAACGAAAGTATAATGAGTAAATACATGATAACGGATAAAGGATAAAACTCTTGGGGTTCATCAATCCCTAAGGGATGTGCCATGCGTTCGACTTCATCAAGCATCGCTGGAGGTGACTGAATGCATATCTGGCCTTTACAATAACCCGCGGCGGCCCACCGATGTATCGGGCCAGCGCTGCTATCCTCCCAGACAAGTCTGGTACCATTTTATCAACTCTGAACGGATGGAAGGCATGGTGAACTTTTAGCGCACAGATCGATCCCGTGTGTGTTGAGAGCACCTCCGATCATTGCGCAACATGCGCCCCGGAAATGTCAGAACTAGGCTGGACGACGTCGATACAACTTCGGTACTAGTTCTGAAGAGAAATATCCCACTTACCTGTAGGAATACTGTACTGTAGCAATTGTCGGATTCGTTTTCTATCTCCTATCTATGCTTCTTGCTGTCGCTATATAAGTTATGTTATCGAAAAGGTCAAACAATAAGGAAGTGGGATTTACACAGAAAGGTAAACAGATGGTCTGTATTGATCAAAATTGAGAAAGTCGAAAAACATAGAGAGATACCACGAAGGAAACTTCCAGAAGAAATAATACAAGCATCCTAAGAAACAAGTACTCAAGAACAAGGATTTTGAGATATGAAAATAACTTGGAACCTCAGCTGAGCATCGAACTCGTGACTCCTCCTTTCGCGGGTTACATACTATCCACCCAACCAATAGAGGCACTAGCTTTGTTGTCCATCCAGTCAGTTTCTTACTCTAAAACTATTTGGGTTGAGGACATCGATAAAGGCAAGAAGAGTTTCGTCAATCTCTGAGGAATTCGTCATGCATTGGACTCCATTCATAGCATCGTAGAGGTGATTGAACTCATGTCTGACCCGTACAATGTCTTACGGTGGTGTACCGATATACGAAGTCAATGCTTCCAGAAACGTCTGGCACAAATTTGCCGAACTTAGTCAGACAGAAGGCATCGTGCACCGGAAACATGGGATTGAACCGACGACCGATCTCCTCCGTATTGCAAGGCAGCTCTAACCGCTGTTCTACACGCAGCTCGAAATATTGAATTAGATACAATCACCTTTCGTATAGGAAACCTTTATTCAGACACAATACCCTATTTTAACAGATCTACCATACCCTACCCCACTCTAGCCATCCATCGAAAGAATCAATAAAGATGGTTCACTAACCCAACTCTCCAGAGATCCATGGATCCATTGAATGATCCTTCATCAATCTCCTCTTCCAAATCTTCAGATCTTCAAAAGATTTCAGGATGTGAAAGTTTCTAAGAGACATGGAAATTGTAAGCAACGTACATATGTAAACCAACGAATGTTTACGGGAAATTGGTGACATAACATGGACTATGGTTTTCTGCCAATTAGCCGAATACCATGTGATTAGGTAAAAGCCATAGAGGATGAAAACGAACAAGCAAGCAGGATCCTTCTATTTACTTACATCGAAGTAAACAAACTAGTAGTACCTTTAGGGAAGCAGTCAATGAACGAACGACCTGCAGATCACTCATTGTCTCCGAGCGCTGTCAGGGGGCCAATGGGATGCGTTGTGGGACCAGCGCGCGTTCGGCGCTGGCCAGGATTAGTTCTGGATCGCTGGATGGAAGCCACGCTATGCTCATCTTATATCGGGAATCCTTATTACAATTAAAACTTCTGGAATTATTATTACCTGTAGTTATGAGAGCTTGGTTCCCACTCACATCTGTTGTCCAATGGTAATCGTTACAATTCATAGTTTGATTTCGAAGTTCCTTCTTCTAATTTCTTCTTCTGATTCTTTCCTTCTGGTTTTTCATTGTCCCGATTTCTTCTGGAGCTCTTCTGATTTGTTCCGAAACAGAGTAGACTGCGCGTAGGTACATTCCAAATGAGATACGTTCCAGGTTTCGGTGCTAGTCATGCACGAGTGAACCTGACGCCTTTCGTCTAACTACAGAAATCGTTTTTAGAAAGAATGTGGCTTAATTTTGTTCTGTCTTTCTTATTACTTTATATGACACACATCCACTGCTTGGATCCTAACAGTTCTTGAATTTGATTCGTTTTCCTTGCATCCATCGCCCACATGAGTCATCGACCACTTCGCTTGTTGTTTCGGCTGCTGCTTGGGGATTTCGTCTTCCTCATGAATGTCGCAGAATGCTGTTCGAGATGATTCTCCTTGCAATCCTGAAGATAGCCGACCTAGGGCGTTCTCACGTGGATTGGGGTGACCCTTGGGTAGGGGTCGAAGTAGCACCTTGCTTCCCGATCGACGATATCACTAACCACTGGGCTATCTCCCCATCCCTATGCGTGAAAATTCTTCCATGCTTCTTACACTCTAAGCTCGGCCTATGTAAAATACCAAATTGCCTACAATGCTCATAAAACCACCTTGAACGTTAACTTCAGAACGTTCTGTTTCTGGGCTGTGGAATTTGGAAAAATTATGTAGACAACAGCTTTCATTCTGCTGCATGCAAATGCACGGGATCCGCTCTCAGGGTCTTCAGAGCTTGAAGGGATATGCTTCAAAACGACCGAACAAATGGCCAGCAAAGCCACCAACACGTAGACGGTCAGGAGACGGGTGCTGATCGTCTTTGCAAGCTGTAGAAAGTCGACAAAAAATTCCGAAGAATGCAGAACATTCCGCTCATGAACATGTTCCGCATTCTTTGGAATTTTATGTTTACAATAGTTATCATAGTAAGGGGCGGATAGCACAGTGCTAATGGTGTCCGCCATCACGAGCACGGTGCTAGTTCGATTCTGCTCCGGGCCAACCAAGCCTCTCATCCAACTAGGGTCAGGAAATTGGTACCGGATTTGTCTGGGAAGAAACCACTGTTTGCAATCCAAATGGTAACGCTCCAGCCCGGCTATCTCAGGACTACAGGGAGAATTGCTTGGCCAGCATTCCACAACATTGAAAATGAAATGAAAATCCTCAAGCAGCAACCGAAACCACACGTTAAAGCTGGAAGGTCTTCGTGGACAATGGATGCGAGGAAACGAAAGGGGAAAGTGCTGGGATCCGCACAGTAGACGTGAAGACCGTCCCAACGGTTTACCGCCTCATCGTGGCTGGAAGGTGTTCCTGGGTGTCGGGCTGCGATGTACAGCGGGGGATTCTTTCCCGTGGTTGGGTCTTCAGCGCTGAGAAGTCCGGCGTTTTCATCGCGAAGCCTAGCTAGTGGTAAACCAATAGCAGGATCCACCACCGTCCTGGTATCAAAGCCGCATGATGGCAAATCTCCCTCTGATCCACAAGGGCTGCGGCTGCCTGAGGTGGTGAAGACGTGGGGTAGACTTTGGCCATTCTGACCTCGGGATTCCAGAGAACCACAATGACCTAACCAGCAAATCGCGGAAAAATGGAGATTATGCTGGTGCCCTCACAACCAGTGAGGACGGGCCATTCAAGTATCAAGACGTTAAGACTGGTTATGTAAAAATAAAAAAATATAATTTCCAGAGTACTCAACGAAAAGTGAATGATTGTTTAAGAAGCAGTAAGTCAAGTTTCAACACTTAAATGCTGTTATCTACATAAGTTCTATCGAACTACTGTATGAATAAGAAAGTATAAAGGAGTATGGAGGACGTCCAAGAGCTTTGGCTACTTCCGTTATACTTTACATCAATATTCACTGCTTTTATTAAATTACTATAATAACGCATGGGGCCTTTATAGCGCAATGGTCGCACCGGCAGAACTGCACACATTCGATTCGTCTCTGGGTCGGTCTCGCACGCGAAGTTTTCGATCCTTCCGGAGTCAGAAGTTGGCCCCCGACTTGTTTGTGATGATGAAAACTCTTGGTACATCGATGGGCCACTGCAAGTCATTTTAGGTCAAATAGGCATCCATGCAGTCATATGATGCTACGAATGGAGTCAAATGCATGGAGAATTCGCGAGGCATTAATCAACGCCGAACGCTTTATTCTTTGTTTTTTATACTGAAAGAACGACTTTTGTTTCGTGTTTTTCAGTAAGTGACTCAGGAGTTTAGAAATTCGCGAAGGTACACGTTGGTTCAAATGTGTACGTTGCCGAGCATTCTGACCGACGTGCATTGAGTCCAATACGTTTCTTTTTCGGCTACTCGTTGTACATTTATAGCTTTTTATTTATTTTTTTAAAATTTGACCCGTCCTCACAATTATTGTGCTGTTCGCAGCACTTTTCAAATTCAATTCGTTTCCTCGCATCAATTGTCCACGAAGATCTTCCAAGCCAACTTACGTGTGGCTTCGGTTGCTGTTTGAGGATTTCCATTTCATCTTGAATGTCGTAGAATGCTGGCCGAGGAATTCTCCCTGGAGTCCTGAGGAAGCCGGGGTGGAGCGTTCTCAACTGGGTTGCAGAGAGACTTTTTCCCAGACAAGTCCGGTACCAATTCCCCGACCTCGGAGGAATGGGAGGCTTGGTTGGCCTGGAGCGGAATCGTAATAGTACCATGCTCGTGATGACGGACATCATTACATTTATAATTTATATTCGGTTATTGGGTTATTTTACTGCATAGAACCTTTTTGCCACAGTTTTTACATCTGGTCGATTACTTATCCAGTGTGGATGTATCTGGGATCACCCTTGAGAATCTACTCGCTAATTAAATAAATTGCAAAAGACCTTGTTTAGAACGAGTTTATTGACTGGTAATGTATAAGATGTCGTCGTAGTTCCTACATACGATTCCATTGCGCTTCTCAAACACTTTATCGCAATATTTCTTTATTTCCTTCGTCTTCCTTCCTCTCTTCGATGATATAGCCATGGGGATGCGCCATGCATTCGACTTCATTAACCACCACTGGAGGTGACTAAATGCATATCTGGCCTTTACAATGACTCGCAGTGGCCTATCGATGTATCGATCCAGTGCTGCTATCCTCCCAGACAAGCCTGGTACCTACTTGTAGACCCAGGAGGGATGGGGCTTGGTGGGCATGTGGCGTGGGGATCGATCCCATGTGTATTGCAGGGAGCTCCGACCGCTGCGTTACGCGCGCCCATTTCCTTCATTACATAGTTAAAACATATCTCTTAAGAGGTGTATATATATATATATATATATATATATGTATATATATATATTTTGAACTGATGTTGTTGAGCTGATACGCGGCTGGTACAAGTTGTTGTTGTTGTTATTGCTGTTGCTGTTGCTCGATGGCCGAGGTGTCGGCGGTTCCTCCCTGCTCAGAGCCGTGCTTTCTTTTGTGTCTTAAGATGAGTTGTTTTAGTTTTTCTTTTCAGTGATCAACTAGTAGTTGTTCTCCAACAATGAAGAGGTTCCATCCACTACTCATTCTCGCTCGTGCGGCTGTTAGACTGAGTTTACAGAGTGTAAGTTATTTTTCAGAGAAAACTCTTATAATGAGAAAAGGCGGATTAAAGTTATAAGACACATGCAAAGGTAACCATTCGTGCCAGAATCGCTGCATGAAACTCTGAGCTGTTTTTAGCCTTCGGTGATTTTCACATTTTTGCTCCTGGTTTTTACTCACTCATTTGTTGTCGTTAGCTGTTATAGGTTACTGCTTCTTTGACTGGAAATAGTTTTGAAGAACCAGATCTAATCAATGGAGATCACTGTAATGTTTTTTAACATCGGTTGTGAAATGACCCTACTTAATCCTTACTACCAACATCACCGTACTTCAGTTATCGCTCGCTACAAAGTCGCGGATACAGAGAACTCCATTCAAAGTGGTGTTCTTTATGATGTCACAACGGAACTTTTCTAGTAGGATGAGGAGGAACCCGCAGATGAATTAAATCATCGGGTTTCTTGTCTGTAAGAAAACGAGCGCACGTAGCGCAGTGGTCGGAGGCGCCCTGCAATACACATGGAATTGATCTATGCGCCAGAAAGTCGCTGTAATGTTTTTAACATCGGCACACCAAACCTTAGATCCCTCTGGGGTCGGCGAATTGGCACCAGATTTGTCTGGGAGGATAGCAGCAATGGCTCGATATATCGGTAAGCCACCACGAGTCATTGTGAAGGCCAGATATGAATTTGGTCACCTCCAACGATGCTTAATGAAGTCGAATGCATAGCGCATCCCTCAAGGATTGATCAGTGCCGAGAGCTTTATCATTTTCGTAGCTTTAAGAAGACGAACAGTGAAGAGAAGTCGGTTATGAAGGTGGAATTCTATACGCATGCAGGATGTTCAGATAATATAGTCTGCTTTCTAAGCCAGAACTAGGTAAAGGAGGAAGCATGGCGCGGTTGTATAGCTTTTGGCTTTGTGGCAGAAATCACTGCGGTGTAGACTGTTCACTTGCTGTCTGCCACGTTGAGAGGGCACCACCTGAAATCCACAGCGCCATGTATTCTGAAAATCACTACGCTTCCCATCATTAAACTCTGGAAATTTTCTTATCCTCTTGGTTTACGACCCAGAGAGTCACTCATATCCTTGTTCCTGTAGAAATCGTTGTTGTGATCCACTTTTGATATTTCAGAGTTTCTTGGCCAACTAGCGCTTTTTACAGCTTTGTGGGAGTGAGGCACTAACTTATGGGTTGGACGGTTACCGTCAAGATTATATTTATTGATATCAATAGGAGGGCGGAATGGGACCTATGCGTTGACTTCAGTGCACACCGCGTGTGGCGAGGACTTAAGCGTAGTCGTATGCTCTCGCAGTACAAATTTAGCCTTAGTCGCATATATGTTAAAAATAACATACGCTTAGGACAACGAGAACTTTCTTAGTTCAGTTGTATGTGCTAAGCATTTCAGTCTTTGCCAGTTCATTACTAATTTTTTGTTTTGTATAATAGTGGTAGGAATCACGATGTAAAAACTGTTTTATTCACTGTCTATTCTTTTTTCATGGCAGAGTATGATGTGAAATATGACCACAATGTTGCTGAGATGTTTGACCACACCATGCGGGTCCCTCGTTTTTCGGGAGGAAGGCGAAACGAAGGACCTACGTGGTGTGATGGTGAACGCATTAGTCCCCTAAAAGCGTAATAGCAAGTTCGATCCCCACTGCAGACATCTACGGTTTAGTGGTACAAAGTTTCGTTACATATTTGAGAGCAAATTCTTTTCAGAAGAGATATGGTTTCGTTGCAAAACGTGTAGTCGCTGGTGGTCTGTCTTCCACGTTAGCTCTATCGTTTTTCTCACCAGCTCCGCAAGTCGAAGTAACTGAAGTTGACCTCTCGAGACCTAAGAATTTCGACATCATCGTACGAGAAGCTGATAAATTATATGACGGTTATCTTATCGAAAATGCCTATAACATTTTGAAAAAGTGAGGGATTTCTTCTTGCTTTCCCAGCCGCGCTGTTCGTATTAGAGTCGAGATTTCAAGTGCTTCTTTTATGTACAGCTGAGTACTCTAACAATATTTAGGTGGGGCTCTAGCGATTGTTCTGAACTACTGTGGAGACTTGCGAGGGTGTTATGTGAGAAAGCCAAGTTAAGGTACTTTTTCTGTTCTTATGCTGCTCATTACTAAAGAATAGATTTGTTATATACTCGGATTCGTTTTGGCCGATTTACAATTTTCAGCAGTGATAAAGCAGAAAGAACATCACTAATGTACGAAGCTTTCGCCGTTGTTAAAAAAGCCATCGAAAAAGAGCCAAAAGGTGGCTGTTTCGGTGCTCACAAATGGTAAACTTCTTACTGGAAATGCCACTTTATAGAAGAAACTCAGCCTCAATTAGGTGCATTGTGATAGTTCTTGAACTCTATTGTTTAGGTATGCTATCCTTTTGGACTACGTAGGAGAGATAGAGGGCAACAAATCACGAATACTAAAGTCTTACGAGGTAAGTATGACCAGTACTCTTGACAGCCTCAGCGATTAATGAACGCCGAGAGCTTGACTTAGGGTCAATTCCCGCGCTCCAGGCTCACCAGGCCTTTCATACCTCCGTGGTCGGCTAATTGCTACTAGACTTGTCTGGGAGGATACCAGCACTGGTTCGATACATCGGTAGGCCACTACGAGTCATTGTAAAGGCTGGATATGCATTCAGTCACGTCCAACGATGCTTAATGCAGTCGAATGCATCTCGCATCCCTCAGGGATAGATCAACGCCGATAGCTTTATCCTTTATCCTTTACTATTGAGCTTTTAGTTATGACTTTCCATGTACTTTTTCTCTTTTTAGGTCAAAGAACATCTCGAACGGGCTCTCGAAATTTGTTCAAGCGATGCAACAACTTGGCATATTCTTGGTTAGCCTGGGTATATATGTTTTATGACCTCTCAACTCTATCACATGTATAGGTTAAAACACGGCTGAGAGAAAGGCGAAGCGAAGGACCCGCATGGTGTGGTGGTGAAGACGTCAGCCCCTGGAAAGAGTAGTAGCGGTTTGAATCCAACCACAGACACCTGCGGTCCGGAGTTTTGCAAATATCGCAGCATCATTGTGGTTCTACTAGATGTTTTATGGACCATAGCAGTTTTTTGAATACGAATAAGCAGTTAGATTTGCTACATCATATGGTCGCAGTCTGCTATAATTCGGATGCATCTCTTCATTACCTTTTCATTTCATGTTTATGGCATTTCTCATTCGCGGATATGGGGTACACAAAGCGACTGCTGGCAAAAACGATTTTCACCACACCGCCAACGTCAACTTATGAGAAGGCACTGAGTTATTTCCTTAAAGCGGAAGAGATTTCGGTTCGTATTGTAACCATATCTTAACCGATATTTTAATAATACTCCATAGTACAATCTGTCCTTCATGCCACTTCATTTCCCATTGTGATAATAGGTATACTTCCCAACGCTTTACCACCTCATTGTGGCTGGGAAGTGTTCCTGGGTGTTGGGATGCGATATACAGCGGAGGTATTCATACCCCAGCAGAGTCGCCCGAGCTGAGTAGTGCGGCGTTTCCACCAGGAAGTCTAGCTAAGAGTAAACCAATACCAGGATCCACTACCGCCCTGGTATCAAACTAGTTGCATGGTGGCAAATCTCCCTCTGATGCTTAAGGGTGGGAACCTGGTGTGGTGACGACATGAGGCAGAGTTTGACCTGGCTAATCTCGGGGCTTCAGGGAACCGCGGTGGCTAAACCATCAGGACGCCGAAAATATGAAAATTTTGCTAGGGTCTGCACAACCAGTGAGGATGAGCCGTCTAGGTATCCAAATAAGGAATAGGTGGTAATTTATAAAGCAGCCGTCGGCGATGAATTTCTAATGACCTTTTTTCGACTTATATACTGGCGTTCTAAACAAACCGTTTTTCCAGCCAGGTTTCTACAGTACCAATACATATTACATTGGAGAAGTGTACGAGAAAATTGGAGATAAGGACGTAGCTATAAAGTACTATAAGGACGCTTTCAAAATGCCTGTTGTAACAGCTGATGATCATAGTATTCACAAGAAAGTAAGTACATGAATATGACTTGTATGTAGTACTAGTTTCTAGCATATTTTTTAAAATTTTTAAAATAGAGGTGGAATATTTTGTGATCAGTGGTATGCTGATGTTTCCATATAACATTTTCCTGTTCGAGGTTTTCTAACCTTTCAAATTTGGCCTTCTTTTAGGCACTTAAGAAGTTGCGAAAAGCCGGGATTAAGGACACCGAACTAGTTTGATTGTTGAATAACCTAGTTTTACATGTTTCACAGACATTTTTGATACTTGCAATACTTTAACTGGTAGCTCATTGTACGTTCCTTGCTGTGATACTTGTATGTTTAGAATTTTTATATGTTTGGGTTTGTTTGTATACATTGCGTTTTACCAGTTTGTGAACATGTCACGCTAAATTTTATGTTTCTATGTTTGATTCATTAGAAAATAAAGTGGTCCGTGGATTTCAGATTAAGCTTTACAAGAGATAAGGTTAAGGGATAAAGCATTTGGTATTGATCAACCTCAGAGGGATGTTCCATGAATTTCACTCCAATCATAGTACCGTACACGTAATTGAATGCATATCTTGCTTATACAGTCGCTTGTGGTGGCCTATTTCTTTATCCGCCTAGGCGAGTCTGGTACCATTTTGCTAATCCGTCTAGATATAGGGCTTGGTTTGCCCAGTACACGGATCGAATCAACGATCATGTGTGTTGCGAAGGGTACCACTATCGGCTGCACTAAACTAACGCCGAGGTAGCGAGTTATCTACATAGAAATGAGAGGAGAGTTTCCGTCATGTTTTGGATAATTTTGTTTATCATAATCCCTATTTGTATCGGTTTAAGAGACAATCCAATTTGTAGTCGATTCAACTTTTGTTCAAAATCGATTGCTATAACTGTGTTCCTAACATTCTTTCTTCATACCGCGTGTCAAACTTGCTCTGAAAATACGCTGAAGCTGATATCTACTTCGCCGTTGGTGTCGTGCTGCCTAAAGAACGCCCGAGGAAAAGCAGGTACTGGTAATGTCCTTCTTGTTGTTAAATCCTACATAGTGTTTCAAGTTTAGCCTTAGTACGGTGTCGATTTTGAAGCTCGTGTAGACTCTACGAATAGATTGTAATTTATATCGTTCAGAGTGTTGACGACGTGGTTGAATTGTAAATGTTCTTCTGGATATAACAGAACATGAAGCCAAGTAGTTGAGAAATCTTATCCAGCAGATGGATCTCTTCAGACGCAGGACCTGTCAGAGTCACTTGATTAGCGATAACTTGCCGCATGTAACACTGTGCATGATTGGTCATCGTAGATGAGAATTCCTGATTTTGACCTTGAATAAGGAATCCAGAATAAATATTTTTCACATGAATATCATTCTCGTTAGTTTCAGCGGAAAATCTTTCCATGCGTGTCATTGAAGTCGGGCAGCATTTGATTTGCGTGGCTAATGAGTGGCCTAATATGTACACAATCTTCAGTGAGGTGGACATGGTATAGTTGTAGAGCACCAACTTTCGCCCATTCCAATTCTCGCATGGTGTTCCATGAACTTATGTGGTGAAATGGCTTCAAAAGGAGCAGAGAGCACAGCGGTAGCGATGCCACCATGTCCACAGAGCTGGTGGTTCGATCCCACTCCGTTTTCACTAAGTGTCTACTCCCTCTGGGCTCGGGAAATTGGTGATGAACTTGTCCTTGAACTTTAGCGCGGATATCTCAGAACTCCAGCGAGAAACGACTTGACCAACATTCTACGACATTCAAGATGAAATTGAAAATCCCTAAGCAGCAGTCAAAACCGCACGTAAAAGTTGGACGGCTTTATTAGATGATGGATTCGAGGAAACGAATAGAATGTGAGAACTGCTGGTATCCGTACAGTAGACGTGAAAAACCGGGAGTACAAAAAGAAAAAAGTAGCATCACATTGTTGGACCCTCACATTTGATGATGACGTCGTAACATAGTGAAAATCTGTCTCTGAAATCACTTCAAAAAAGGATGAAGCTTCCAGCGTTCATTAATCCCTGAGGAATGCGCCATACGTTCGGCTTCATCAGGGATCTTCAGAGCTGCTTGTCATTATATAGCTTATCGTAAATGGTCTCAGTGATTTCAGCACCCATTTGCTTGTGGTTAGCATACCTGATGATTCCATAGAGCTCACTCGTGGGAATGACCTTCAACTCTAATTATTCACAAGGTTACTTGTTTTGTTGTATGTCACTCGGATAAGTGGATAGATGCAGACCATTTCTCTACCTTGATGGGTAGCTGAACACAAGGGAAGAATCCCTTGTTGCTGGATACAAGAAAGAGATTATGTGCCAATTTGTAGCCGACTGACAAGCTGTACTACCAGTGGTCCATGTCGGGTGCAAGAGTAGTCCAAGTTCTGGTTAAGAACTATGAACTCGAAGAGCACGATATTTTTGTTTTTGGGATTTGCATGGAGAAGAATGACTATAGATTCGACCATTCTGTAAAACCCAGTCGCTAATGACTGTTGTCCACGAATCGAGGTTTCATTCTGCTAACGCAGCGTCCATGTTTTTGAAACGTACCTTAAGGAAAGAGCAACAGTAAAGTCGAACATATGGACACAATGCTAAGTGAAAAACAACCACAACGTTGCTGAGGTATTTGCAAAACTCTGGACCGCAGGTGTGTATGGTGGGGAACGAACACGCTATTGTTCTTTCAGGAGAGCAACACCTTCACCACCACACCATGCGGATCCTTCGTTTCCCCTGTTTCTCAGCTAGTTCTATCGATCAGCGCCATCAGCAATCACCCGTCAACGGGATTGATCTGGAGAGCCCACATCGGCATTGAATCCAGTCGACCCCAGTTTTGCAAATATCTCAGCAACGCTGTGGTTGTATTTCGCTTAGTACCCTGCCGTGAAAATTGTAGTAGGCAGAAAATAAAAGGTAAAACACAATGCTAAGCGTTCTTTTTCCTCTTCGCTACATTCTTGATGCTTTCGAAAGATCCTCAAGCCACCTACTTGCTCCTGCTAAATGGTGATGAATAATCGTTCAATGTGTTGAATTCTCCACTCAGACAAATAGATACAGCATTCGGAAATATTGGTACCATTAAGCACGAACGAAGCATCAGGAACGGGCGCATTTATTGTGAACATCCTTTCCTTGGGATTGAATAGAATGCTGACTTCTTCGAATGCGCTGTAGAAATCAGTTTGCAGCTGTTGTGCACGAATATCGCTTGATGCTACAGAAACGATATCATTATGAAGGCGAAAATGGTGTTGTTTTGGCCTTTCATTGCGTTTGGAAGAAATTGAATGAAATAACTGGCGGTAATAACATGTAGGGCTCCTGTGGCGCAGTGGTCGGAGGCGCCCTGCAACACATGTGAAATCGATCCTCGCGCCCATAGCCCCACCAAGCCTTCCATCCCTCCGAGGTCGACAAATTGGTACCACACCACTCTGAGAGGATAGGAGCATTGGTTAGATACATCGGTAGGCCACCGCAAGTCATTGTAAAGCCCAGATATGCATTCAGTCACCTCCAACAATGCTTAATGAAGTCGAATGCGTGGCGCCTCCCTCAGGGATTGATCGACGCCGAGAGATCTTATCTATTTATTTATTTTAACAATATGTACTACTTAACAAATAATGTTGTACTTAGAAGTATCCCTGCAGCTAAGAATTACAAGGATACTAGAGATTTGTAGTGCAGTTCAGCGTATTGCACCGCGCCTCTCTATGTCACTTTGGCCTGCCTGTTAAGTGGTTTCTCTTAACACACTTGAGAGCCACTTAAGTGTTCCTCTCTCACGGTCTCTTCAAATGACATTACCGAAACAATGTCTAGTGTAAAATCATGGGAACACCTTGGAACGATTAGCTTAGGAATTTCACCAAAAGAAGATAAAATGATGCTTATCCGAAAAACAGTAGAAGGTCGAGAACAAGATGATTGTGGAAGACTAGGAACTAAGTGGCTAAAGGAACTAGATGTCAGCAATTGTAGATTGCTTTACCAGGTATATTTCGGCCCTCTTTTCTATTGTATGCGATGGAAATGTGGAAGAAGAATTGGTTCTTTACGTTAAGAATGTCTAGCGAAACGAAACAACTGTGGATTTCAGGTCAACAGCCACTTCTCACTCATGGACCGCAGCTTTAACTACAGTGGAGGTCTCGTAGAATGTAGAGGCTGCCGTTTGTTACAAATTGTTACCCATTAGCTGGGCTATCACCTTTAATTTTCTACAGCTGGGTGCGCCAATCTAGCATAAGATGATGTTCTTACAACTGGAAATCTCCTTCCACAAGACGTCGTTGGCTAATTTTATCAGTGCGCCATCGAACTGGCGTTTCCACGTTATCAGTCCAAAAACTTCCATCAGAAAGTAATCGATACGCTCTCGTCCAAACATCAAAACATCTCTCAATATATCACTTTTTATTCACTGCCTATTAATCTTCCGTAGTAGGTATTTAGAGTATTATGTGAAATACAACCACTATAATGCTGAGATATTAGCAAAACTCAGACCCCAGCCAAGGTTCGAACCCAAGATTACATGTAAGCTGCTGGGAAGATTAAGAAAGAGTATTCCCGCGCTCGAATCTAGCCTGGAGTCTGAACCTTGCAGATATCTCGGCATTATTGTTCTTGTACTTCACGTAATAGTCTGCCACGAAAGAATAATAGCAATGAATAAAAAGTTTATACATTGTCATTTCGACTGCAGCTTCAGGCTAACTAGCTTCGATGTCGATTTCTCCTCCCCATTCCTGTTAAATGATAAATGCTAATGGCACCGTTAGGGTAAAATCTTGCTGACAGGGAAGCGAGGTAAGGGTCATAGTGGTGTAGTGGGTAACATGTGAGTCCACGGAGAAGGTAGTCAAGGGTTCCAATCTGACTAGACATCCGTATTTTGCAAATATCTCAACATGATGGTGGTTAATTCCCAATTATTTTTTATATGATGGGACCGACGTCAGGTTGGTATGAAACGTTTTTTCCAGGTAACGTTTCTGCGCATTTGCTTTCTTCACAGCTGCGTTGATCCGAGTCGATGGTTACACAAGTTGATCGTTGCTGAAGCTCTTATACCAACCTCATATCGGCTCAATCATGTAGATGGTTATCTCTCAATATGTCGTTCTGTAACATTTATGTAGAAAGCGTATTAGAGTGCATAAATATAAAATCAGGCGTTCGTCGTTGATTACTCCTTTAGGAATTCGTCATGCATTTGTGTGCATTCGTAGCATCATCAAGCATGTTGAATGCTTATTCGGCACATACATAATTTCTGGTGGTCTTACGATGTATTGAATTAGTGTTCTTTTCTTCCCATACAACTCTAGTACCAGTTCGGTGATTTCGAAAGGATGGAGGGCTCGTTTTCCAAGGGTTTGCCTAGGGGAGTGTTTGTCTAGAGGGTTTCACTTCTAACCGAGTGCGTTTTTTCAAGCGCTGGGAAAAATCCTGTTCACAGCTGGACCGGATTTTCCAGAGAAGAATGAGGATGAACACGAACAAGACCTAAGCACAATCTTCGACCTTAACCTAATTCGATTTAGGTCAAATGTCGCCCGACCGTTTCGTGCGTAGAAGATAGTGTTGATAGGAATTCCACTCCATTTCACCGTTTCTACGAGTTTTTTTTGTCAACAAATGTTCATCCTATAAAACTTTTGCGTTAGTATTGCCCGAGATTTTTTCTCTATGTGGTTTCAAACGATTATAAGCTTTTAGCACTAATTAGTTATTGACTGATTATGATCGATCGCACTTTTTCTTTAAATTAACAAGCGAAACGAGGTCTTCTACTGAATTTGCATACGGTAAGGGATTCTGGCGTATATTGGCTGGATTTCTCTATTTCAGTAAGGGCACCCCCCCTTCTTCCCCTCCACCCAAAAATTAGACCATTCTTCAACTTTTCCATGTTTACAAGAGATCGTTATGTTTTTGTCCTGATTTTTCGTATAGCTTACAAGTGCTACGTTGTCCATAAAAGGGACTTTGGTTTTTTAATTTTGATACCGACCGTTATTTAACCTCGATACTCGATAATCACCTCAATATCTCGGTAATCAGCATGTGTTTATATTGTTGAGCTTACACGAGATTGTTAGAGATGTTTATTCGGCTAACGTTTCGAGGTCTTCGTCTTCATCAGAGCCAACGATCTTTGTCGATGGTCCACAGTTGTTCCTCTTCTCGATGTGGCGTCTTCGTCTCGCATCGAACCGGATCTTCTCCAGTTGAGCATCTCGAATGAGCCGAACACATCCGGCGACGCTCTTTTATACAGAGCAGTTGTTGGTGATATGATTATCAGTTAACGATAGTTTCTTCTTCAACCGATGACCCACCCTGCAGCAGTCGGTATTTTGTTAGCCAGCACATTGTAGAAAACGATAATGTTGAAACCGACCGTGATTTAACCTCGGAGCCTCATTTAATCCTTTAATTTTTTATTTTCTTACAACATATGCTTCAGTTCAAGTCTACAGTGAACGTTTTTGATCTCATTGAATACCGCTGGAAACAACAGATTTTTATTAATAATTCTTAGGTTTACTTATTCAGTCAAAAAGTAGAATTCTAGTTTACTGTCGTCAAGGCACGTTTACTAACAGCTTGGTTGTTGGAGGACTTCCCAAGCAAGTAATTTTTTGAGGTGCACAAAAAGTAGCATTAGGTTGAAGTGACGACAGATGAATATCCTGGATATGGCAAGAAGGACTCGTTTCCTAGTCCTCTTAACAGTACTAGTTACGTGATGTAAGGTCGGGAATTGTCATTTACTAGAATTAAACACATTTATTTGGTCATTGCCAATTGCAGACTTTTCAGCCATTGGTGTACGTTTTCCTTTTCTTCTCATTATTTCTATGCCTAGTGGTCATCTATAGCAGTTGCTTGAGGTGCCTTCAAATTAATACATGGCCCATGGTTCGACTCAGCTTGCACGGCTAATCAAGCACTCCATGCATCCGAGGTCGACAAATTGGTGCTAGACTTCTTTAGAAAGATAAAAACATTAACAAAACAAAAACACATGAAAACTTGATACATTTGCAGTCCACCTAAGGTCATTGTGTAAACCAAATATGCATTTAATCTCAGACGCTAAGGATTGAATTGAATGCCTAGTGCAGCGCTTGAGGATTGATCAGTGCCGAACGTCTTATCCCTGATCTTTTCTATTGTTCGCTACTATAGTGGATTAGTCAAACTTTAAGAAGACATCGTACAGGATTTAATCCTTTCACGACCGTATGTCTTGACATCACTGCGCACATCAAGTGCCTTGACAATGCCGTCCAACGGCCCAGCTACGCGAAAACGGCCGAGATAGTGAAGGCTTTGAACCTTTTGTATTCAAACAACTATGTAGTGCACAGGGTTGGAAGAACTGTTTCTATTCCAATATTTTCACGTAGAAACATTACTTTTTGACCAGATAACATCTTTACGACCCTTTGTAGTCATATCAATCAATAGGTTGTCGGACAGAGATTTTGGGGCTGGTCCATGGATAGGTGCTCTCACCGATTCTTGCAAAAAGCGGTGTCGGATAGAAAAGTGGAATCGATGGACATAAGAAACATGAGGCAGAGAAACATGAAGCAGACACACAAATACGCCTCGGCTATGACATAAAACCATACGGAAGGCTAATGACATCATGTTATGTAACGGACGAATTTTTTTCCATCACACACAAGAAGTGTCCAAGAACATGGGAACATACAACGATGCTCAATAAAGTCGAATGCGTTGCGCATCTCTTAGGGATTGATCAACGGCGAGAGCTTTTAACAAAACTTCAGGTTTCAAAGGTGAGATAAACCTTGAATTCCAAATTGCAACTCTTCAACTTTACTGTGTGTGCATTGTAGTTTGTTGCATTTCTGCCAGAAATGGGCGGAGCACTGTGGCTTGGAATAAATCGTACCAGGCAAGTAAATGAAGTGACAACTCTTATACTCGTTATCGTATGAAGATATGGTATTTTCTTGCCGTTGGAGTATTCGGGGTTTACTCCGTAAACAATGGAAAGGAAGGGAATCATCGAAAGCATCAGTACCTGTCTCTAGTTCTTCCATAAAGAATTTCGTTTAAGTCGAAGAGCATCTATCACATTTTGCTGTTACTGCTTTCTATGAATTAATAAATGTGGAACAACAGTCAGTGACAATAACTGTCACCCAAGATGTTTCATTCATTTCAGTTCTTATAATGGAAAACTTCATTTCTAGCGAATGATTGTAGAAAAGAATACCATGGGTAGAATGAATTTTTTTACACGACCCGCTCTCGCACCTGCTGTGCGGATCCCAGCACTTTTCGCGCTCGATTGCATCTGTCATTCACGAACATCTTCGATCTTTTTGAGTGTGCGTTCGGTTGCTGATTGACAATTGTTGTCTTCTTCTTGTCGATGAATGGTGGTCGAGTCATATCGCTCCGCAGTCCTTGGATAGCCGGGTCAAAGCGTTTCCAGTTGAATCTCAAAGCGTGAGGTGTTTCCAGACAAGCCCGGTACCAATTTCCCGATTCCCGAGTGATCATAGGCTTAGTGAGCAAGGTGCAGAGTCGAACCAGTACCGTGTTCGTGATGAAAAGCATCACTATTACTGCGCCACCCGCCCTCTAAAATGAAATAGGGCAGATTAACCGTTCATTTTTAGCTATTCATAAAAGAATCTCTACTATCTATAGCTTCATGTACATCAAAGAGTCTCTACGTTTGAATTCTTATCGCTGTCGTTTTCCTCTTGAACCTCTTCACGGTGTAAATCCTTTCTCTTATATCGTTGGTACAACCAACTAAAATGAATTTAGTACAGATACGATGAAGAAGACCAGTGGTGAACCAAAAGCGGAAGAGTTACCGCCGAATTTTTGCTTCAGCACGGATGATCCGTTCTACTTCGGTCCTGCCACCTGTCATTTGATGCACTATAATATGGCCGCCTACATGGCCGGTGTAGTCGAGATGACAATGCTCTGTGGTGGATCGTTTTCATTTTGGCGTACGTTTTCCAGTGTTACGGTATCTCTTACGGTATTCCAGTAGTTAAGTGTCTTCATTGTTATAATGTCGTTGTGTACTCCTTAGGATTTTTTTTTACGCCGTGTTTCTTCTGTTGGAAAATATATCCCTCATTTAACTCATTATTTGTTCAACGACTTAATATTAACAAAATTCAACAGGAAACCCATTTGAAACCTAAAGAGAGAATTGATGTGAGTATTTCGTAAACATACTCGTCCCAAAAAAGAATTTTTGTAAAACACTTGGTGTAAGGAATTGCTTTTAACGGCTACTGCACGGCCCATTGACCCGTGCTATAACGATTGAATACAAAAAAAGCACAGGAAAAACATTAGAACGGCAAAAACGAATGCAAGGAGAATGAGTTGATATTAGTCCACACCGGCCGACCCACCCAGTTGTACGTGAGTGGGAAACCACTCACGGCGCGCATTATAGTCTCTAAACATTAGCATAACATGCATGCGCTTATATGGATAACAGTCCTAGGGACGTTTCATTCTCTCCTCAGGTAGTGTTCATTGTTTTTCACAGGAATGTTTCCACAGTTTGGATACTTGGATGCTCGAATGTCCCGTTCTCACTGGTTGTACGGGACCCTACACAATCTCCAGTTTTCGGAGATTTGCTGGTTAAGGCATTGTGGTTTCCTGGAACCTCGAGGTCAGCTTGACCAAAGTCTGCGCAAGGTCTTCACCACTACAGGCAGTCGCTGCCCTTGTGGATCAGAGGGAGATTTGCCTCCACGCGACTTTGATACTAGGACAGTGGTGGATCCTGGTATTGGTTTACTCTTAGGTAGGTTTGCTGTGGGAAACGCCGGACTCCACACCTTTGGAGGCCCTGCTGGGGACGAATCCTCCCACTGTACAGGGCAGTCCGACACCCAGGAACACCTCCCAGCCACGATGAGGCGCTAAACCGTTGGGAGATTTCCATAGCTAGAATAACAAATTTCCGTAGTAATGTCGTGATAGCAAGATGAGAATAAGATTTCCAGAATGATGAGAGTCCTTACTCTTTCCTCTGGAAAATTCTACTTCATGTATTTTTCAAATTTTTACAGGTCTCTACAATGTTAACCAATCAATGGATTGGTGGGTGGTATTTTGTATGTTCTGTTTGACGGTCGCGGGATTAGTGACAACGTTTTTAATGGTACAGGTTTTCTTATTCTTATATTTACAATGTGTCTAGTATTTCGAGAAGCATAAAACAAGGTGATCCTTTTTCTTTCATACGTTTGCTAATTGATCTGGAACAGTAAAGACTAAGATTTAGCACCAATTGACAGTAGCAGAGCAACTTATGCGTTCTCTAAAGCTTATTCTCACTAAGATGCATCACACTGAAACTACAGTAGGCCAGTTTAAAATATTTTGTCATATTTTTTCTTTTTCCAGTTTTATGGCCTAAAAACCGAACAAGCGCAACTGATCTCACCAAAAATGACATTTATTCAGGTAGGCGGAAGTCAACGACTGAGTTAACTTTCAGAGTATTTGAATTTTAGATTGAGATCACTATTTTGATGATTTTTGCTGCTTTTGCGATCGTATCAATGGCCTTTGGGATCAATCTTACTCATCGACTATTTAGTGTCTTTGTTCGGTGACTACTTTTTCAGCGCTTTTTTCCTTTGTTTTTTTTGTTGTCCAAACGATTTACTGGGACCACCTTGGTGATAAGGCCCTTTTGAATTTCATATCTAACGCGGTCATTACATTGTGTTCGAAGTTATTTGGAGGAATCCGCAAGAGTTTTAGCGTATTAACCACAATTTGAACTACCCGTACTATCCTCCTTATCACCCTGTCAAAAACATCGCCCAGGCACGATAAGGCAATAAAACACTGAAGCTATATCATCTGTGCTACCTGTACAGGTGGCGCATGTAGCGCAATGTTCAGAAGTCCCTGCAACACGTACGTGGTCGTAGATTCGTTTCCTCGCTCCACATATCAGCCATATTTACTGGCAACCACATTTATTCGTACACTCTGTACAAATCGGTACTTAGTCAGCATCTCAGGCAACTTCATGTGCCGTCACATGAACATTCTGTAAAAGCTATGAATAGTTATATGATGAACAATCTAGAAGCTTTGAATAGTTGTTTGGTGAACCATATGGTAACACAGCATCTTTTTTTTCTTAAGCTGACGCGAGGTTAGTACAGATCTTCGTTGTCGTTGTCGTTGTCGTTTTTTGATGTTATTGAACGATGGCTGACGTTTCGGCGACTTCGCCTTCCTCAGAGTTTGGACGTACTTTATGTTAGAATACTTTTTATTATTCGGTGGAAAAGAAGGTTAAACTATTAATGAAGATCAAACTTTCAAATAGAAGCCATATTGAACAGAAAGGCCACTCACCGTGATGTTACGTGCGGGACTGGCCCACACGTAGTTCACGTGGAGTCGCGAGCAAGACACGCCCCGGGGTCAAAATATCATTTTGAAATAGGGCGCCAGGTCACGCGTGATAGTGAGGCATTCGTCCTTCCGGTTCATCTTTGGATTTTTCAAGTGTATCCAAAACGCCTGAAGAGTTTTGAGCGTTGATGTTTTTGATTCCTGCGCTAGGATTCCTGCGTTGTGCTTTTGTGCCCTATGCGTACCTAGAGGAGTGTTTAGACAGATTTTAGCTTTTCCATCTAGATGTTCTTCTATGCGGACACAAAGTGGTCTACCCGATTCCCCGATATTATTCCTCGCCGCATGCATTACATGAGATCAACTATATTATACCTAAACTCATGCAATCCCCGTCTCTCCCGTTAGGACAGATCATACAGTTTTCTGAGCTGCACAAACGATCATAGAGACGGTTTCGAACTAACTGGCGGCGTAGGGTATTGGGTGGGGTGTCAACAATCGTTACATAATTTTCAAGACCACTTTTTCTTAAGCACTTTTTAATGGCGTGACTTACTTCATTTGATATGAAGGGCAGCTTAAAGGGAGTCCTACTTTCGTCTGAAATATTATTTTATATTTATATATATTTAATATTTCTATTTCATTGTAGTTCTATTTCAAAATTTTTCTAAAATGAAATAGAAATATTAAATATATATAAATATAAAATAATATTTCAGACGAAAGTAAGATCCCCTTTAAGCTGCCCTTCATATCAAATGAAGTAAGTCACGCCATTATAAAGTGCTTTAAAAAAAGTGGTCTTGAAAATTATGTAACGATTGTTGACATCCCACCCAATACCCTACGCCACCAGTTAGTTCCCAATCCCCGAATAACATAAAATACGTCCAGGCTCTGAGGAAGTCGCCGAAACGTCAGCCATCGTTCAATAACATCAAAAACAACGACAACGACAACGACAACGAAGATCTGTACCAACCTCGCGTCAGCTTAAGAAGATCAATTTATAAGATCACATAAATAAATATATCACATAAATAAATATATGCCGAGGTTCATAGAAAGTTGGTCTTTCGAGTTATTAAGTATCATCAGATTGTCAATACTGCGTTATTATTGTTATCATAAACAGTTATAACCTAAGCTCAAGATTGTTCTCTGTTGCTACGGAAAAAGTCTCGCAAGGCAAACTCGTACAAAGCCGAGCATTCTACTTCGAGATAGAAATTATTCGGTGCCGACCAACTCGAAGACATCACTGTACTAACTAGTATACCTGAATCTCTAGGAAGTTATTAAAAAGGTACCGGACTTCTTTCAGAGGATAACAAATGCTGAATTGGTACAATACTGTGCGTCTGCAGTCAAGGCGTAGGATAAACACCTCTACTATGCTTAATACAGATGAAAGTATGGCGCGTCCCTCAGGAATTGATCAGCGCTCAGAGCTTTATCTCTTTATTATTTCATCATTTATTGAATAGGTGTAGTGTGTTTTGCAGAACAGACCTCCCACTATATATCACAATGCCTTGCTTAAAAATACTTCCCAGCCACTATGAGCAGAGAGAGCTTTTGGAAGATATCGGCTATGTTAGTTATCCCCGTTAGTCATCGAATAATTCCTGCGATCGTCAACAATCTTCATTCGTTTGTGCTTCTAAGATTATTCCTGTCGATAGATTATTGCTGATGGTACGCATAGCGTAAAAAAAACTAGCCGAGAGAAGGAAAGCAAAGGCCTCTGTGGTGCAGTGGGAACACGTAAGCCCCGGAAGGGGTAATCACGGGTTCGAATCTTGCCTAAGGTCTGCGTTTTGCAAATATTTCAGCATCAGTGTGGTTGTATTTCACATAATACCCTGGCGTGAAAGAATAATAGGCGGTAAGTAAAAAGCTGCTAGCTGCTCAAGGTATTATGTCGCTACATAAGTTTACATCTAACTGAGCCTCCGGACAGAAATGTGATACAGAACTAATTCCCAGCTTGAAAAACTCTGCAACGGTAGGAACATAACAGACTCATACCGTATCTGAATATCGTAAACTGACTATCAGGAGAACCATTAGAAAGGATGAGGTGGGTAACCAATGTAAGCGTACAGATGATTTACAAGAAACCTGTCCTTTTGATGAATCAATCACCAGTCAACTTTATCTAGTAAGCCAAATAGGCTTCAAAAAAGAATCGGAGCTTTAACAAATGGCACATACATAAGCTGCTTTTTTAGGATTCCTGAGATGGAACGTGACTTCGGACCGATCTGGCCATTCAACATTGCGGTTATAGCTTTTTTTGCAGCTGCAATTTGCACTTGGTACGTTCATAATTCGTCCTCTTGATCTTATAGTGTTCAAAGAGATATGAAAAAGCTTAAATGGAGAGTAAAGGAATAGAATATCGAAAAAAGACTGGTTTCTGTAAGAAAGAAATTACACGTAGGTATCAATACCTCGTAATAATGCGAAATTATAAATCATCCACATAAGGTAATGGGTTGACACTTGACACTTGAATGGCCCGTCCTCACTAGTTGTGCGGGCCCCAGCATAATCTCCATTTTTCAGAGATTTGCTAGTTAAGCCACTGTGGCTCCCTGGAATCCTGAGGACAGCCTGGCCAAAGTCTGTCCCATCTCGTCACCACGACAAGCACTCGCAGCCCTTGTGGATCAGAGGGAGATTTACCAACATGTGACTATGATACCAGGACGATGGTGGATCCTGGTATTGGTTTAATCTCAGCTGAGTTTTTTGATGGAAAGCGCCAGACTCCTTCTCAGCTTGGGAGACTCTGCCAGGGGACGAATCCCCCAGTTGCACATCGCAGTCCGACACCCAGAAACACCTAGTCAAGATGAGGCGGTAAACCGTCGGAAGGAATGGGAAACTAGAACAACGAATAGTCGGTGAAACCGGAATAAAGAAACATAAATAAATACAGCATATGAAGAAATTAAGATAAACACTGCAATAACTCCAACTATCTTTCCCAATTTCTTAACACTGGCGATGAGGCGTAATCTCCTGTTTGCTACGGACTGGACGACACCTAGTTTTCCCCCTTCGTGGACTCGGTTTTTTAAGAAACAAACAATAATTATTTGATAATGGGGCGGATAGCAGTGGTAATGGTATGGGTTATCACGAGCATAGTGCTAGTTTGACTTTGCTTCAGGCCAACAAAGCCTCTCATCCGTGCGAGGTTAAGAAATGGGCACCGGACTTGTCTGGGAATGGTTCACTCCTTGCAATGCAAGTGGGAAACGATCTAGCCCGTCTATCTCAGGACTGCAGGGAGAATTGACTCGCTTAGCATTCAACGACATTCGTAAAGGGAACTCTTCAAGCAGCAGCCTAAGCCATATGCAAAATGTTGGAAGAAGTTCATCGACGATGGAAGCGAGGAAACGAATCGAACGCGAGAAGTGCTGGGATCTTCACAGATGTGAAAGACGGACTGAATAAACGACAAATGGAGCTTTTCCCGACCAACATCAAACACAGCATATATTCTGCAAGCCATCAACTGATAACAAAAATTGCAGCAAAGTAGTTCTATATGTTAAAATGAGCCACCGGAAAGAAAACGAGACCTTTAGGTATCTTACCGGCCACTAGCAAAACCACTGTCACATCTATAGCTAGGTGTCACTCTTCGCGACAGTATTAAACAGAAACACCAAGCAGGTTCAATCCCATGCCCTGAGTTTATCAAGCCTCTCATCTATATGGGTTCGGCAAATTGATACCAGACTTATCTGGGAGGATTGCAGCACTGACTAGATAAATCAGTTGGTCACCGTAAGTCATTCTATAGGTCAGATAGACACTAAGCAACTTCCCATGTTACTTGATAGGAGTCGAATGCACGGCGAATCCTTCAAGGAATGGTCAACGCCAGGAGCTCCATCTTAAAGCGTAGTCAGTGGATAGATGGGAAGGTTACGATAACCAGATAAAGCACCCGGGATTAACACGAGTGTTTGAGATCGCACGCGGGAGAGGGCGTTGCCAACGCGGCAAACCCCCATTTAGACTAAAATTGTGCTGATACTTTCCTTTGATTTCTCGTGATTTGTGAAGCCCAGATATTTAGGTAATCGACTATCCAAGTAAGTATCTCCAATACTGCGGATACACACGTTTTTAAAATGAATCCAATCAGAAACATTTGGATAGGATCCAATCCGTATTTTCAGTACAATCCCTGTTAAATCAGAAGGCTTCTTCGGAGGAAATAGGTGCCCAGATTTTCGGCGTTCTCTTTAAGTTCATTAGATAATTTTGTTTAGGATGCGAGTGCTTGTGGGTGGTGCAATCGACTTCATTCTCGATAAGCAGTTCTTCACCAACGCTCCATCTATTGAAATGGAGAAGACTTTACCACGAATCGAATGAAATCGTGATGATCTGCCAAGATCGCACCAATTCTACCTCTCTTCCAACACTTCACTGGATAATGAAGTTTTATGGAAATTATACAGCGGAAACTGAATCGCTATTGTTCTCCCATTGTCTTGTAAAGATCTGCGAAGAAATAAAATATAAAACGAGAAAGAAAAAATGTCAAGTTGGCTAAAGCTTCAGACGCAAACGGAGTTCTCTCAGTTTTATCAATATGAACTAACAAGTATCAGAGTATCTCAAGTGAACATAGTAACGAAATAAATTACCAAAAGATTCCGCGTTGGAGTCATAGACGATAGATCGAATCTTCAGATCATAAAGAACAATAAGAAAAATGATAATAAAGAGGATAATATAAATACCAAGAGAGAAAAAAAGTTGACAAACCTGGTAAACAACTACATAGAAGAAAACAGATAATGAATTATACTCCTAAACTGAACATACACATGAAATGGTAGTCAGATTTTCAGTGATGACACCTTTTCAGTAAAAAATGGTAGAGTTGAACAACAACAATAACCGCAAAAATAAAGGAATGATCCACATAACTTCCTGCCTAGAAAAGGATAGGTCGCAAAAACCACGTTCAAGCCTGCGCCTCCTTTACTTTAGCACTTTTCTCTCTTTCGATTCCTGTCGATTTTGCTTCCTTGGTACGTGAAGGTACAGCATCGCTTAAATTCTTATTTTCCATATTATTGTAGGACAGTGGGTATTTTTCCTCTTGAATAAAAAAAAGTGATTGGGATATTTAAAAACGGGGAAACTATGGGTGTATACTAATGTATACTAAACTGGAGGTATGCCTGAAAATCTTTAAGTTTTCATTATACTCGCTACCACAGAGAAAAACTGTCATGACAAGAGAAAACAAGAAGAAAAACCTACTGCATTTTCAACTGCGTCTCGAGCAGTTTTTGAAAAGCTTTTTCCTTTCCTCTATAAGCTTCTATTATTTTCGCAACCTCGCTACCCATACGAGTTTTATTAGTCTCTCGACGTTTTATAGGTATGCTGAAAAATAACTACGAATTTAAGTAAATTGTACAAAAGAACTGCTAGTAGTGGGTCATCTGGACAGTTTTGCAGTCCCTTTAGCCTATGTATGCTCAAAAATTTTCGGTTGTTACTATGGCAAAAGAGACGTAGAGACTAAAATAAGACAGACTACGAGGCTCATCGACTCAGTTGTGTACAAGAGACCGCTCCGGCTCACTTTCACGACATGAAAAACTTCTTACTCAGCTGACACAAAAGCACAGTCATCAGATCTTTGGACAACTACGAGGTGCATAAACATATTTCGTGAGCTATACGCCAATGTCAGAACCACAGTATCACAATTCTACGACGATATTAATGTTGACGCACATAGAAGGATTGAACAGGGTGACAGCGTTTCACCAAAATTATTTACAACTCCTGTTTAGAGCGCCTTGCAAAAATTGGGATGCATGGTAGTGAAAGTCGGTGGTTTGGCAATTACACCACTTCCACTGCCCTTGTGATATCGTTCTTATAATACCAAGCGTCACGCGAACGAATGCTGGCCTACTTCCACAACGCCTTTGGAAAGATTGCTGTTCAACTAAATCTGACGAAAACGATGTTCATGAGCAACGGATTTGCTCCTAATGTGTCCCGTTCACGCTCAACCGAATTAATAACTCCGAGTGCCTCAGCTATGTGTATCTGTGTTAAGGAGTCAGCACAATGAGCCACTTAGCTCCAGTTTTGAGCAGGAGAAAGCGAGCTGGCTTAGAGGTGCTTTCCTGGTTTAGGGAGACCTTTCAAGAGCATCGAAGATATAATCAGGAGAACTCGGAACACGACTCTGTGTCGTGTCAATCTTTTCGACTCCAGAGTTCTCTATGCGTTAACTAGGCTTCGGAAACCTCGTCGCTACGTGAGCAGGATGAAAGATCATTCAGTGTTATAGAACGCACAGTAGAAAGGACGATGCTGAGAGTATCCCGTATGACGCTAGTGAAAGAGGGATTCTGAAGCTCCAACGATCAAAAATTTGATACACTATTCTATATTCCAAATTGTCGAAAATCTGGTCGAATACGTAACGCGTTTGAACGACAGCTGATGTACAGGAGCTGTTAGTGACTGGATTGAATGAAATATCAAAGCCAGAATAAGAAGACTATCTGCCCGATGGTCACAGTTCTCCGCAAAACCCTAGAAGGAGGATATAGTGCCCAGGTAGTTTCTAGAGTGCGCAAAACCCATTACGCTACACTTCAACGTGATAGGTACAAATAGAAACCTAACTAAAACCCGTTCTAGTCACTGAACGGTTAACAGGAGGACAGGTGAATGGTGACTACAGGAGAAAGAGGGCAATTAACAATATCGCAAATAACGTTATATTTCAAGGACCTCGCAAGTGGAAACAAGTTAGTGTTTTCAGTGTTGAAATCTAGGTATCGTGGTTTTTGTTAAGGCTATAGAAGTGTTTGGGTAACTAAGTTGCAGAAAACTTGACGTTTTCATGTTCCGAAGAGATAGAAATCCCCTGAAACGTCAGCTTTTGTGGATAAGTAGTGCAGCAGCAACCTTACGAATGCTTATGAACAGAACATCATTGACCAATGCCGAGGTTAACAGGAAGTCTTGAGAATTATAGTTTTTTCATTCTGATGAAAAATATCACTTGATCTTCTACAATGTTCGTTCACCCTATGGAGGTATTGAATAGTGTTTGATTCGGCACTACCGCATCAGAAACACATTTTCGCCATACTTAAAAAGCGAGAATGCATTTGAAAGCGCCCATAATATTTGAATACAGTTTTTAACGGTTGAAATGGTTTGAGATATTGCAACGCGGGATTTAAGCCTCAGAGAAGAGTTGAGGTAGGTATTTAAAAAACCCGACAATCCCAGCAAGTAGTTCTAGTAATAGTAGTAAATATATTAGGAGCCCTGGAACGATCGCCCTCTACCATTTGAAAACATACCACTACGTAAAATATGAAGGATAAAACGTTAGATGTTGATCAATGGTTTGCGGGTGTCTCATGTATATGACTCCAATGGTAATTTCGTTGAGATAATTGAACACTCACCCAGACTGGGTTGAGGGTTAGTTTTCCCGAAACGCAGGATCGATTTATCTGGTGTGTTTTGCACTGAGCTTTTAACTAATGCGTAAAACCTCCCAGATCACAAAGCTCGGTCGTACCTGGATGCAGCACTGATCCTTTTATACGATTCACTTCTTCCTGTCACCACAGTCACTAAAGGACCAGAATAAAGTTTCGCAACTGCAACACTCTTCCCGTACATCAGTGGAATTTCCACTTCCTCTTGTGAAGCTTAAAATTTTTAGTCATTTAGCAAACATTTCTTTCAATAAAGCAAGAAATAATCAGTGTGAAGCAAAAGATATGTTGAAACAATAACCTCCATTAGTCGCTGGGTGATTCTTGAACGATTTGCAAAATCTATCCATGATTTTCAACACACAATTGGCATTTGCATCAATGTTTGGTTTACCGTTGATTTGTGAAATGATTGATGGGAACAAATGCTCTGATGGTGAGAAATCTAGAACCTCCAACAAGAGATTGGGCTGAAAAGCATTCGGACTTGAAGTGAATCTATAGAAATTCATACCATTTGTAATTTTGTGTACAAAAGGCTACTGAGGCTGAAAACCGAACCCCCTCCCACCTCCATAAAAAAGGCTACAGGAAAAAAACACACTTGCTCTCTATACAAGTTGTCTAAAATACTTGTTGCAGCCTGGAGGCAAGCGATGACTTCTCCTGAGTTGAAGGATTTATTCATACGTTCAAAAAATGGACGGAGACCAATCCGTCGCAGACATCCACTGAGCTGAAGAAAAAGAAAAGCTTAACACTTGCCAACTCTTAAGAGTTCTTAGGTTGTTCTTATCCAAATAATTTGATGAGCAGAATACTGTACGCAAAGAGTTCTTTTAAACTCCTACGAGAACTTCGTTTCGTCTGAATTTCCTTCTCGTCAAGAGAAAAATGCAACTTACGACTTTAAGAAATGGTTGATTGTCTTCTTTTAAAGCATCTGACGTCGCATTCATCATAATCTTAAGCGCGTACTGAACTGCACTGATCTTTTGATCAGGGTTGTTCACAAATCGACACAATGACAAGATAGTTGCTTCCAGGGAACTCGACGGTTCTGCATGGAATAATTACTATTTGGGCTTCTTTAGAGGGAAAACTTTTGACGATAAACATACGGGAATCACAATCAGTTTCTTCGACGAGTTCTAGCCCCACTGCCGTATCATCATTTTCGAGTTCATCTGAAGAGAAACTGTAAAAGTGTTGTCGTTGAAAACAAACAGCTCTCACTCATTTTACGTTTAATAGCAAGTTTTGGATTAAATTTTATAATTTGCGCATTGATAGTATTCAGAAATGAGGTATCAGATTTGAGTCACTACACTATCGTCAATCAGTCGACCCACTAATGGCAGCGCTTGCTGCGGTCTCGTCAAAACAGTCACGGGTATCACGAAAATTCCGCGGCACAAGGCAGTGAACCTCAATCAGATCCCGTGGACAGGAGAGTTTGTAGGTAAGAACTGGTGAAATTCTAGCCCGGCTACCTCAGGTTTCAGGTAAAACCACGTTCTACCAATATCCAAAACGCCACTGAGACGAGAAGAACAGAGATTTTCAAATCTACTACAAATCTGGTCACACCTCTCAACAATTTGCCGCCTCATCGTGGCTGGGAGGTGTTTTTGAGTGTCGGGCTGCGATACATAGTGGAGGCGTACGACCGCCCAGCAGGACCCCTCTAGGTGAGGAGTCTGATGCATCCATGGGCTTATGTAGAAGCAAACGAATACCAGAATGTATCAATCCTGGTATCAAACTAGTAGCATGGTGGCAAATCTTCTGACCCATAAAGACGACGACTGCCTGGGGTGGTGATTACCTGAGGAAAGCTTCGGCTAGTCTGACCTCGGGACTCCAAGGAACCAC